CCCCCCCCCCCCCCCCCCCCCCCCCCGCCTGATATTTTAACCCTCTACAACGTTTCTGTGTCGGCAAACTTCGTCTTATTTCGATGACCTCACTCGTCATCTCTCGCTTTTTTTCCAGGTCGTCTTGCTGAAGGATAAGAAGAAAGTGTTCACATTGGACAATCTCGACTATGAAGCAGAGGTTGGAGCTATCCATCCCGGGGGCACCATTGCTGCGGTGGGGGGTGCAGTAAGTGGAACTCCTAGAACACGGATCACCTCGAGCTCTGGCTCGGAAAATGCTTTTTAAGTTTAGGGGGATAATGGCATATCTTGGTCTTTAGTAATGCTCTATTTCAAGGAACCATCACAGGAAACTGCACACTCTTCGTCACACCCTGGAGATTAATTTCCTTTGTTCTCCGTAGGATGGGGTGATCCGTCTGTACTCCATTCAGGGCCACACGCTGAAGGACGAGGGTCAAACTGTCAAGACTGGAGGGGCGGTCACAGACATGGCCTACTCTAACGACGGAGCCTATCTGGCTGTCATTGACGACAAGAAAGTTGCCACAGCTTTTACTGTGGCTGACAGCTACTCGGTAAACATCCATCTGTCCTACATACTTTATACATTGTTTGTTGATTACTCAATATCCAGTCCCTGTAGCAGTTTTGTAAAAGTTATAGTATTTTTTTAATTTTGTTTTCCACCAGGTCAAAAATGAGTTTTATGGACACCACGCCAAGCCAGTGACTTTGGCCTGGTCACCTGACAATGAGCACTTTGCGACTGGAGGGATGGACATGAATGTGTACATTTGGACAGTTGCTGATCCTGACAAGAGGATTAAGCTCTCAGGTAGGCCATACAAAGTGCACATGTGCACTCACTCATGCCTGGCTTGAACACAGGTATACACCGATGTACTGTATAAATCTGCTCTGCAACAATATCAAAACATGCATAAAGGCAACGGGACATTTTTAGCTGAGCTGAATTATGCATTTAGAGCATGTAGCTGCACTTCAAGTTCAAATAAATGGATTTTGGTCCTGGTTGATTTGGAGACACCTGTTTCTGTTTCCACATAACGGCAAGACGCAGTAAGGTATGTTACCTTCCTGTGGTATTGGGGATGTGTGGTCTGTCGCCTGCTCACTGTGGCTCCTCCTTTTTGTTTCATTACTCTGTGCAATATTAAAAAGTGGACCGCTGTCAACAAATGTGGAAGATGACTGCGTTACTTGGGACTGTTTCATAGTAAAAAACACATTTAATGGCTTTTGCATAAATAGTATCAGAAACAGGGTTTGTATTATTAAATACTTTTAAAGATTACAACTTTAGGTCATAGCTCAGTATGTATTGTTGTCAAATTGAACTTGGCTACAAATGTTTGTATTTTAATTGAACACATGCCTTGGGACGTCTTTGTAACAATGCTGTTCTGTTCTTTGATGTCTGCAGATACTCACCGGTTGCACCACGTCAGTGGCCTGGCCTGGGTAGATGAGCACACTCTAGTCACCACCTCCCACGATGCCACCATTAAGCAGTGGACTGTTGCATACTGAGCTGCAAGCAGACAAACATCTCCAGGGACAAGGACTACTGTAGAATTCCATCTTTCCTTTTACTGTATTTTCACTATACAGTGTTCTATGCTGTCTGTAAACATCTGAATTGTAAATGGTTATGTCTGGGGAAAGCTCCTATCAAAATGATCCAAGACACGTGTCTTTGATGTGAATAACCTCAACTTAACACGGAGACAATTTGTTGAAATATACGATGTAACCATGAGTGCTTTTACATCTCTGAGCTGTGTGGACCCACAATGATATTTGTAAGCTCAACATTCCATATGTAACAGCTTTCACTCAGTTTGAACTGAAATCCTTGTCTCAATGCATCTTCACTTAACGGATGAACAAAAAACTCTTGTTTGAAAGGAATGAAACCTTTTTGGTTGCATTCCTGAAATGAGAAGTAACTGAACAGCAGCTGCCTGACACTTGTTATTTTCAAGGTGTAAGGGGATGGGTGTTTTCCTTTTGCTTTGTCTAAGGTTTTATACTTTGTATGTATCACAACTCTTCCTGTTGAACTGTGGAGCAATAATAGGAACTGAAAGAACAAAGTGGGTATACAACCAAGATGCTGCCAGTTCAGTTGAAGGTCCAGTGTTGTTGCTGTGCTTTTCTTTGGGCCCACTATGCTTGTCTGCACTCGTTTTGTTTTCTTCTCATGTCTTTATGCATTGGCTTCCAAGATGGCGGTGATTAATTAATAATAAAAGATTTTTATGCATTTTCGCTTTCATCCCGATGTACACTCTTTCTACTTGTCGAAATACGATTTTGTGGTATTCGGACACACCGTGGCTGTTGAGAGCTGGCATTAATGAGTGTTGGGGTGATCCTGGACAGCTCCTAGTACAGGTGTGAATGCATCCAAGACCCATGAGATCCGATCTCTCGGACCACGTTAGGAGGTGGTCTAGGCTGCATTGCCTATTCAACTGACGTGTTTGTTACTCTAGCGACGTGATCCACAACATGTGTAGCGGAGGGTTGCTTTATGAAGGTAATAAAATGCCAGCAACATCTTTGTTACTCCTATGAACAGCAGTTCAAAAGCGTGGCACTTTTTAGTTTCCCAATAAAAGCCCTTGATACTCGGCGGTAGAGCGGCTCGTCTAATCAGAGGATCGGCCGTTTGATTTCAACAGAATTGCGTTGTGACCGGATCACCCGAGGTCCCCGCAGGGCTCTGAACATACCAGTAGGGGTCATCTGGGTGCGTGAGAGGGGCAGTCAACAAAGCTTCCAAGATCCCAGACTCACTGACTGTTGGTCATTATGTTATAAAATAGTAGTGTCCTGTCATCCAGGTAGCCATATAATCTTTTTAATCTATTGTAAACTGTCCAGATTATTGAAATGTATTTTGCCTATCTTATCTTTATTTGACTTTGAACTTTTATTCATGTCATATAGTTTAAAGTATAAAAGGGCCACGCTGTGTGGTTATATAAGCATCCCAGCAGATTATTAATGGGTGAATCAATGTTATGAACTAAGGTTGATTCGCAGTTGAATTCGGTTTTGGTTTTGCAAAGTGAGTCAAAATTGATACCGTTGTTTCGATGTTGTTTCGATGTGGTACTCTTGAACACGGGTGGATTACAGTTGTGCGTTAACATTCAATAAAGCAGCGTAAGGATGACCTATTGTTGAAGGCCAACCCCGGAAGTTAGTATCACACTGGTTCCCTTGACAAGAAGCTGATGAGGTTTTTTTAATTGAGCCTGTTTATGCAATTAATGTTTTCTCAATTTTGGATCAGTTATCAGAGTTCCATCAAGAAAACAATTATCTTCCATTCATTGATTGAGCTTTGACCCTATGTGTGCATGGGCACATGGTTTACTATATGGGGTTGTTGCCAGTAAAGGCCAGGTTTCAGATGTTTGATTCATCAGCTTAAGTTCCGTCATTGGTGATCAGATGGAGAAGCTAAAGTTGAACTTAATGAATGAATAACCCTAACCCTGGGTACAGAGATGAATGGCTGAGATAAGGAATAAAGACACTCCTGCACCCAGTTTTTTAGAAACCTCCATGCTGATTTGACTATGTATACAGGTGTAGAAGGGGGTGGGGGTGGACTACGACCATATAGGGTTGTTAGCCAATCAGGTGAGAGCCACAAACTAATAAGTCGGTTTGTGGGGTTTCATTTTACATCGTATAGGGTTTTAAAGCTTTGTTTCTGGTACTGCGGCTAGAGGTGGCCTTCGGTCATGGGTGCTGGTGATATGGTTTATTGTAGCACGTTTTAATAGTGTGGTGTTCGCTTGGGAGTAGTTATATAATATATATCTATAATAAAAAAAGATAAGTTAATCTTTAACTTCGTCATGACTTGAATGAGAGAACGGTCTGTGACTTTACAACAGTTATAAATAGCTTGCTCCAATGTCGAGAGGGCTTCCCCCTTGCATCAAATAAATGTGTATCTGACATTGTTCTACGTTCTTCTAACACCTTGGCAGTTACTTGAGATACTTTAGTTAGCTGTATCTCTCTCGCCAGTGTGTGCATGCTTTCCTTGTCTCTGTCTCCCTTTGTGTGTTTGTTGCCTTTGTCCTCTCTGTGTGAATGATGTGCTTGAGTTTTGCTTAATGTCTGTTTGTCTTTTCTCTTTCCAGGTCTCCATTGTGGAGAGGAGTCTGTGTGGCTCAGGTCTTATCTGTTTGCAGATATCCATATTCCTCATATTTATTTCAAATCTGTACACAGGACATCTATTGTATCTGTCTGTCCGTCCTGGGAGACTGATCCATCCTCTGCTACGCTTCCTGAGGTTTCTTCCATTTTCCCACTCGTATTTTGGGAGTAGAGTGTGATATGGAGAGCTACTCTTTTGATATAATCTTCCAGAATTAAACATTTGCTCTGTTTAACTTAAAATAATGCATACTATGCATTTTAAAGGCTACATATTTAGGGGACTACCTGTCTATGTTCACTGATTACTGTTAATTATTCCATCATTATTAATGTTTAACAAGTGACCATAGAAAAACTGAGAAATCATAAAACAAATATATACAATATAAATATTTAAACATGCAAGTTTAATGATTTCACTGGTAATCTCAACAACGTATGAGTTTCAACATTTGAAAGTTATACAATATGAACTATTAGTATAGTATAACATAAAGTTGTGTGTCCACCAAATCGGTATTTTTGCCCGTTGAAAATGTAAAAAAACAGCTGAGAGACTCAGCGTTTTTTCAGCTGAGAGCTTTCGTTGTGTCTGGTTGCTATGAAACGGAATATCTGTTATAATATCCCAACTGAAACATTATAGGGTTATAGTGGTGTTTGTATATTTCCTGCGTTAGCTATAGTGTCCCTCTATCTAAAACATACAAGCTGCCCAACATAAACCACAGTTAACATGAGCTGTTTCCCTCCTGGTGACTTACTTGTTTAGTCCACTTTCTTTCCAATCCTGCGGCTCCAGGGAAAAGCGGGGTTCATAAAATATCTGGGAAATAGTTAAAGGAAAAAATAGTAAGCGGGGCCATATTTCTCTTACAATGTTTATGCACAGTTTGCTACCGTGAAGAAACGGATAAGGTTAGCTATTTCTCCCCCTCCGACCACCACTGTTTAGTGGGTCAAACAATAAACCGCTGATTGGCTAACTGCACAGCATATATATCAGAACAACCTGTAAGGAAATCTCAAAAGGTACGAGGAACATGCTCACATGTACAGTAGATGGTGAATGTAAATGGATTGTAAGTAGCATTTAGGGCTTTTGTTAAATGCAACCATTATGAGATATGACAGGGTTTATAAAGTCTAATATTTCTCAGGTTATAAAAGAGCATGTTCACATGACAACAGTGACGCATGACATTGCAAACTTAAACTTATTAATTAACTTCACCGAGCAAAAGGTTGCCTCCTTTAGCAGCACTCTACACTGTGGCTCCAGCCACTGTTGGTTCATGTCCAGCCAGAGTAAATTAAGTTAGCCAGCTAGCTCTCATGTGATAATGGTGTTTTTTTAATTATGTGCCTGCAGTTACTTTTGTTGTGGGATTCACAAGAATATCCTGATTTTGGACGGCGAAGGTCTTGAGAGTGGTTGGTGAGTTATTTTTCTCTAATTGCTTTTTTATGGAATAAATGATCCTGCTATTAACTACATATTTGTGATCTTTTAATTGTTTTAATAAGTGGTTTGTACAGAGTCGCAGCAGTATGAACGGTTCTCTGTGGGTGACTAAGCCACTGACATTCTAGGAAAGTCAATGTTTAACACAGCTGCTGAGTTTCAAGCAGAAAAAAAAAATGGTCTTTGAGATAAAACAAATCTAGCATATGCGCTTTAGAAAGAACTTTGCAATATTGACAGAATCAACAGTGTGACTCTAACTGACGACTTATTCAGGACACATGACGCAAGGACAGTAACACGTAACATTGACCGTGTTGTAAAACATGACAGTAGCCTATGCATATGCAGTGCCACACATTATTCAGTTGTGTGTAGCTGTGCACAATTGAACAGAGAGGTATAAGATACAGTAGATGTAATTGAAAGAATGTAATCTGGATTGGGCAGATTTGGGGGAATGTGCTGTGGATAAATAGAGCATACAGGATCATATGTTGCGTAAACTTTTTACAAAAATGTATAGGTGAAATATAAATATAAGACAAAAACAAGATCTCAACTACTTTCAATGGTTCGGCACACTCTGCCAATGGGTTCTTTCCACCGAAAGGTCAATCTACACTCTGGGAAAGCTAATACTTCTGTTACCAAGACTTCAGGGGAGTAAAAAGAGAAAACATGTCCCAAAGGGGGTGTTTGCTTACAAGCCTGAGTTTCATTATTTGCCCATATTTATTTCCCATGGCGGTTACTGTCCCTAATCTTTTTCAGTTGCTCAATCCTCGAGCCCTGTGCTGCGGAAATGTGGCTCACATGTTTGTAATAAGGATAGCTGCCAGGCAGTAGATTCAACTATATAATTCACGTGAAGCCAAGGGAGAATAAAGCGGCCATTGATCAGAGGAGAGGTTTTTTTTTTTTGGAGTGGAGAGCAATCTCTACAATAGCTCCACCAGCAGCAGAAACTTTTTCTTCTTCGTCTAGAGTGCCGTTGTCGCTCCGTTTATCAGGAAATTAGCATTCAATGCTACATGTTTTTATGAGAAAGCTCCAGCAGGGTATGCATGTCTCAGTAGCTGACAGAGTAGCTATTATCTGTTGTTGCTCTAATTTCAATACCACCTGATCTGGGGACGTCTTTCCTAGACTTTGGCCAGTTGCGTTAATTGTGGTGGAGGAATGCTGCAGAACAATGGAGCATGGATATGCTGGAAGAGCACTCTCTATTGTACTTATGGTTATTATGGTAAGAGAAACTTATTATGGTATCTTTACATTAGGATTCCAATCTTTCCAATTTTACTTGGGCTTTGTGATATTATGTTAACACTGTTCAAGGTACCACAATGTCCGTATGTCTGACTGCAGTGTTAACTTGCACAGTGATGAAGAGTTCTCAATGTCACTAAACATTGTTTAGCATTGTTTAGGAAGCAAATGTTTTTTGTTAAAAGAGTTTGAATTTCTTCGTAATATTTTCTAACATTGACTCAACAGTAGTGTCCACATTGTAATCATACAGAGCTGCAGTTGTAATGATTTTAGATTTCAATATTTCTATAATCTTTTAAAATTAAATTATCCAATATGTTATGAGGAAAAGTTTCTAGAAGAAATGTCTTCTTCCCAGTCAGTGGCATAAGAATAATGTTTCCAACTCTATGCAGGTTTGCTACAGCTGCTCTGTTTGAAAGGGATTTCCTTCTTTCCATTACCCAGTCAAGCAGTGCGCGCATCATTATTTGTAATACTGCACAATGTCACTAAGTGCAGTAAAAGGGAGAAAAAAGATGGCACTCACTTTTGTGTTAAAATTAAATATAATTAAAAAATAATACATAATAAGGTTGACCTGTACGTATTCCAGCAGGCTCTATGAAATACATCTCTATTGTTTGCACAGGTTCCGCTACCACCACTCTTCCCTCAGTCTTACTGGAACCCCTTAAAGATGGAAGCTGTCTGCCTCCAGGTGTACTGATCTGTACTGAACAGGGGCATAGTGGAGATACCTGTTGTCAATGTTGGCTTAAAAGGCTGCACGGCTCAAATTTAACACCCAACTGGGTGCACTGCATGTGGTCCAGACAAAGTCTCCTCTGTGTTCCGTTAATTTGGAAGACAAGGGTTGGAAACCAGGTGTCTGTGGTCCAATCCATTACTGCTGACAGTAGCTTAACTTAACAGGGGCGACTGTGGCTAAAGGGCCGCCTTTCAATCAGAGGGTCGGTGGTTCAATCCCTGGCTCCGGCTCTGCTAGTTGCATGTTGATGTGTCCTTGAGCAAGACACTCAACCCCAAAATTGCTCCCGTAGTGCCTACGGTGTAGAAATGTGATAGAATCTGAATTGTAAGTCGCTTTGGATAAAAGCGTCTGCTAAATGACTGTAATGTAATGTAACTTATGATCTCTCTAGTGCCTCATGGCCTACCCTGCTATCAGAAAAAAAGCAGCACTATTGAAGAAATATGCAGGAGTGCTCAGTCAAGGAGAGAGAGAGAGAGAGATCTAAGTTGTGGAACAGCGCTGGGTTTCAGTGTTGGCTGCATTTGACTTTGAGGTCAAATATCGTCCAGGCGCTACAAATAGGAATGCAGATGCACTGTCTCTGCAACCCACAAATGACTCAATATCTTCAGTAACCCCTGGCATCCAAGTACCCAATATGATCCGGGAACAAAAGCATGGGCCACAGATTCCGCCTCAGGAATTTGGCGATTCAAGCTCTCCTAATTCATGAAAAGGCAGTTTTACAAGCACTCCAGGAAGCAATGCTTAGGCAAAAAGCCAAGCTGCCTGTTGATTTTTTGCTGGGCACCACAGACAACCACTTGGCTCCAGGCTCCACCCACGATTGGGTAGCATCAGAAAAGGCTGAAGACTGCATATTACCATACTACGGATCAGCTAAGATTGGCATCTGAACGAAGGAAAAAGCAACCGACCCCAAATCTAACAGAAATATTAGCACCAGGAACCCTTCTACTTGGATGCAATACAATCCAGGATTTCTGGGACCAGACAAACTATGAGATTCTGCACTCTTTGGATGACAAAGGAAGGGATTACAAAATTAGACCAAGGAACAGAGCTGGGCCAGAGAAAAATATCAACATGACGGAGCTTAAAGTTCTTCCTTGTACTGCAACGGCTGACACTCCTGACTGTCCTTCACCTGATCCGCACAGTCTGCCTCTAGCAGAGGAAAAGGACCTTGATATGCCAGAAGATGAAAGTGAAATGGGCAGTGTAATAATGGTCAACATGCTGCCTCTAAATTTTGAAAACTTCCAACTGCCAGCCACATCTCATAACTTGCTACCTGACAACCCACCAGCTACAATACAGCCAGATCCCCAGTTAAACTGACTGGCCGACCCATTACATAATGAGTCTTCTACTACCTCCCCTGTTCTGGTGAGACGTTCCCATACTACAGCAGGCCACCACACAAATCCCTTCAATCTGCCACAATCTGTATGCAGGCCAGTGAAAAACAACAGAGTTAACAGTGAAAATAACATTCCTCAGGCATCCAGCCAACAAGTCTATGCAGTGTTGAGACCATGAAGTAACATCATATTTTTGTCACCGGGATGGGGACCTTTCAAAGTGGGGGTAGATTTGGGAAGGCAGGTAACAGGCAGCATAGCATTAGAACAAACATGTAGTTAATGTTTCCCTTCCCAGCATCATAGCCAACCTATTTTATTGGAAAGGGAGAATGGGAGGGGCTTATTCAAGTTAATCATTTGTCAGTGTCTGACTAGCTGTCATACCTAGGTAATGATGGCTCGGTAGTCTTCTCGAAAGCACTGGATACACAACCTGTGGGTGAGTAAGTTTTCCCTCTTACTCTTACTCAGTCTGAGGAAAATGTGTTTATTTTTACCGTTATCCTCAATGTCATGGTCTGTTAGTATTGAACAAAACAATTCTCTTAGATATTACCCACAGAACTGTCGGAGCTGTGAAATGGGCTGACACTTATTTATACTTACTGTTTTCTTCTTATACATGTAGGATGTGTGTATGCGTTGTTTCTTTTGTATTTGAAGGCTCTTGAAAGTAATTGGCTGATGAAAATGATTGAAAACATTTTTTTGTGTGTTAGGTAGCATGGTGGTAAACAAACTGTGTTACAGTACTGCAGGGGTATTCAATTAAAGTTCAGCGAGGTCCTGTTAGAGACAATTTCCTCATCCAACGGTCCGGAACACCAAATAATGTCTTGACAGTTGTATTAACGTCTGTATGTCATCACCATCTGACTGTTAAATCAAATAAAGAAAGTTCAACTGAATAATACAAACAATATTTATTGTCAGATTTCAGATTGAACTGGATTCATTATAAATAATATATACTCTAATAATAAATAAATGTTCTCTTATTTCAAGTAAAATGTAAGCTGAATTACAAAATAAAATACATATCAGTAAGCTTTCGAAAAATGTGACTCTTAAAATAAAGTACTTCATTTTAGATAAATGAATTTGACTGAATTGTCTTTGCCCTGCAGCTTTAAATTCAGTTCATTCAGGTGTGAAGTGGTCAATCAAAAAAGCCACGATATCCATATTATTTTCATCTTCTAAAAAGAGAACTGCGTGTGCAGGGACTTTATCTGTGGTTAAAAACCCCATTGTTTCAGCTCTATTCCTCTCTGTTAACATTATTGTTGGGCAGTGAATTAATGCATTAGGATTCTGATCATTTTGGGCTCTTAGATCTATTATTTTTTGTACCTTCAATTTGGATTTGAGTGGGTGCTTTGTCTCGTAGTGACTCTTCACACGCTGTCTCTGAACATATGAGACGTACTGGTTTTGAACTGCCTGTAGGAAGAATGAAGATATATGAGTCTGACTCTGGTCTCTCTGGTCCACATTTCTCTTCTTGGAGAACACAATGTGAAATAACTTCTCTGACTATTGGGTCTCTCTCTTGTGTGTGTGCAAATGTCACTAGAGTTGCGAAGCTTATAGGGATACACATATATGATTTACAACACATGTAATTGCTCGGTGTGTTTCCTGGACCTCTGACTGAGTGCCGTAAAGGCTGGAAAAGCTGTGCCGGTAAAAATAGAAGCGCTCTGTTAGAATTTATTAATTATCAATTATCGGTTTTAGATCCGGGTCCGCATACAACGGCGTTTGGGTCCGGAACCGGACCGCTGTCCTGAAAGGCACTTTTAATATGGTTACTCTGCTGCAGCCACCATATGCTAGGTCAGGGACTCTTAGAGGTAACAACGGGGTCATGATCACAGAGATGAGAGGGAGTTATAAAGTCAATGCCCACAGTTCCTGATAACCAAATGAACCTTATGTCAGACAGTTGACTTTTCTGAAGCACTTTTCTGAAGCACTCAATGAGCTTATTTTTATCTGCTTTAAGCGGTGATTGCAAATACAGTGACATTATACATCCACTTTACAGAAGGTGAAATCGGCTTTTAATGCACAACCAAACTGTCTGGCTAATAATGCATTGAGTCTCATCAAGTGTTTACAGTAACTGAATGTTATTGTACCCAATGTGTGGCTTTAAACTGCATCTTATGGTTCATTTGTCACCACACAGAAGGTTCCGCATGTAGTAACACGACCTTAAGTTTAGAGTTTTTTGGTCAAACTACTTTCAAAGTCGAGGATGAACTTTCATGCTGAACTTTATTAAATGTGTTTATGGTGGAGCCTCAAATTGATTTATTTTTAATGTGTTCTCAATGCACTGAAACTGTTGACTCATTTAGCTTTACAGCAATTTAGGCTGCAAAAGCGTCACACGTCAAAGCAGTGGTTTGGTGGAACAGTTATAGTAAGGGAAGGTCTTTAGTCATCTTATGAATTCAATCCACAGCTGTGGCTCTTAATCCTCCATCTCAGGATGCAGAGTCCTGCAGGTTGTCATTCTAGTCAGCCAATAAGCGACTCATTTATATTCTGGAAGCTGACAGAATGCTATTAAGTATGTTACTAACTGTGCGGTCGGAGAGGAAATCAGCAGTACTACAGGTCGCTGACTCCTATCAGTTACGTGTAAAATGCTCTGATGTCTTTATGTTAAGAAGGTGAAAAATATATTTGCTTTTTATTTTACCACAAAGAGCATAATATACTTCTAGCTTGACATACACCCCGCAGTCCAATGCTTTGCACCAACTGTGTCTGGTACAACCTATGCCTAAAGTATACATTTACATTCATTTGGAGACCTCCAGTTTTTTTATACAACTTCTGCATGTTTATTTGATGTCTGCTGTTCAGTTACTCTGAGTGTTACTTTTCCTATAACCACTAGATGGCAGACTCTGGCTTTGATTTTAATTTGTTCTGCTGATTATTTTGTATTCATGGCAACCTTTTTTGCATGTTGGAAAACTCATTTGACTTTGTTGCATTTGTCTTGTGGGTAAATGGACGGTGTACGTTTTGATTGTCTGTTTTATCGAAAAAACAAACAAAAATACCACGTTTTTGTTTTGTTTTCCATTTTAAACTAAAAATACAGAAAAGCTCGGGTCCGTGTACGTTTTGATAGCCTGTTTTACCGTTTAATCGAGAAAACGAAAATACAGAAATACCATGTTTTTTCGTTTTAAACCAAAAACAATGGAAAAACATAGCTGTTTCTGTTGGTTTCGGCAAATCCATTTTTTGTTTTTCCCTTTAAAAAGAGACGCAAAGCACGACAGGTAACCGGAAAGTAAGACTATTTCAAGAATAAGAGTCAAGGCCTTAGGACTTATAGTCTGTGATGCAATCACATACGAGGGCAATGTTAGAAGAAAAATAAATGAATGTAAATAAATAAACCTGGGCCATTTGGAGTATGTAAGTGTTTCTTCCGATTAAACAGACTATTAAAACGTACACGGACCGTGTGTCAGTATCTGTACGTCAGCATAATGAGGCACTGTCGTTTCCTTTTCAGCAGATGTTTCACTCAGTACTTTCTATAATTACTTTCACTTCTCCTTCTTTGTTGTGAAACGTGTATTGTCTTCTGATGGGTATTCTGTACGAGCCACGTGTAATATAATATGACCGTCTCATTTTAGGTTGCTGAAACGTTAAGATGGACAAACCACCGAAGGAGCAGAAGATGAGCGACTCTGGGAAGCCCTCAGAACAGGTTAGTGTTATTAACTCACCGATGTATCTTTATGGCTTTACAGCAGCCGAATGAGGACATCTTTTGTGATGGATGAAATTTTACTGGTTGGAAAGATTGACAGCCCTGCCCTGATAGCACACTAGGTCAAGGCTGTTTGACATGCTGTTGTTGTTTTTTGCCTGTCAAGTCATACATTCCTCAGTTATGTAAGAAGGTGAGGGACGGAGGTTTTTGTGACGAAACTGCACTTTGATCTGCTGCTGAGGCCCTCTCTACTGCTTGAATCTGTGCTAAAATATGTAAAATGATCTGGTTATGTTCACATTGAAGAATATTGTTCCTTCTATTGAATATATACAAAAAATACAGATAGATTTTTTCCCAGTTACTTTCACTTGGTTTTACCGCTGAGTTACCACTACTTCCTTTAACCTGCTCTCTGAAACGCGGTCAAAAAATGACATTATTTATCAGGTTTCTAAGCCTCAGCCTATGCTACACCTTTAGACCCTGATTATCTAGATGTTTCACCAGAACCAACGATCTTAGTGATCACACGCTCGGATTTGAAGTTTTTACATCTACCAGTCCAGTCAACCCGCCGAGCTCTGGGTGCCAACCTGTTGCTGACGCAACGGAGGCTGCAGGCTGAGGGAGGTGCTGAGGGAGGTGCTCCCCTCGTGCTCCCCTCGTGCTATAACATCCAACTGGGGAACAAATACGATATTGTAGACCAGCATGACTTCTCTCCTCTGGCTGTGGGACCTCCTGCAGCTCTCACTGTCCCAACAGCCATATACCTCAAAACTTCTCCCACAACAGGATCCGGGCGCTCCGTTCGGCACTTCACACCGACACCGCGAACAGCTCCAGCCCCACCACCAGTTCCGTCTTCCACTCCACCGCCGCAGGGTTAACTTGTCCCCTCCCACCAAGGTCCGTGTACGTTTTGATAGTCTGTTTTACCGTATAGTCGAAAAAACGAAAATACAGAAATACAATGTTTTTTTGGTTTTTCGAAACTTCTGCGTATCTTCCGGGTTACCTGTCGTTCTGACAGGTAGTAAGGTAGTAAGAATATTGCAAGAAATTATTTTATAGTCTATGGCCAAATCCCAATGTCCCCCTTTACGGACTTTACGATAGCGCCCTTTACGGCGCGCTATCGCTAAGTCCATGAGGGTTTAGGGCTGTCCCACTGTCAAATCAAGTGTTTGAGGGCTCTCTCGCAGACATTTTGAGCCTTTTATGAACCCTTTCTGTAAGTCAGCATGGTATGCTGACTTAGCCTAAGGGAATTACCCACAAATAATTGCAATGTGATGTTAAACAGGGGTAACCAGTGGACGCATGGAGACGTAAAAACAAAGGTAAACAAAGAGGACGGCTCAGGTGTGTTCAGCCTGGAGTATTCCATTTACTCAGAAACATTAAGGGTTAAAGATGGAACAAAAAATAAACATGAAATCAGAAGATATTTATTTATTTATTCATCAAATATTTGATTTTATCATTGAAGCCGTTTTGACAAAAATGAGTAAATAGATTATATAAAATTACCTCTTGTGAGGAAAGAGCCTGAAGACATTCAAATCAGGGAGTACAAAGTATAAAATAAATACCCACAATTATACATCATACTTTTTTGTTGTTTTCATGATAAGGTGATATGTTGCAGCAAAGTGCTGTCCCATTCCTATCTACACCATCTCAAGCCCTCACAGTCTCTCAAACTCAACCACTTACCAGGTGACCTCAATTAAGTTCTTGAGGGTTCAGGGCTTAGGGTTTAGGGGGGACATTGGAATTTGGCCATTGATACAAGCACATTCCTGGGTAACATTAGAAGAAAATACATGAATATAAATAAATAATCCTGGGCGAGTGTGTTAGCAACAGTGACTACATGCGATTTATTTTGTTGCAAAAACAAAAGAGGGATTTGCAAAAACTAAATTAGGACCACTATTTGACTTTGATTCTCTCGTTGTTTTGTTTTTGAATGCAGACAAAAATGGAAAAATGACTGTGCATTTCCGTTTTTCCGTTTTTGGTTTAAAACGAAAACCATGGTATTTCTGTATTTTCGTTTTTTTCGACTAAATGGTAAAACAGACTATCAAAACGTACACGGACCCCGCCACGCTTATCATTGGTGACTCGATCGTGGGGAACGTGAGGAGAAAAGCGACGGCTACTTTTTGCTTTCCAGGCGCAAAAGGTAACTGACCTCCTGGAAAGGTTTCCCTGCATCTTGCCCAAACGCCCACTTGCCCAGGAAGACGGTCGTGCACGTGAGATGCAATGACATTTGCAACCAGTCCTTTGAATTACTCAAACAGGATTCCAGCATTCTCCTGGACTCCATTGAGGTCCATGGTGAACGGGTCTTTATCAGTGGACCTATTCCCCCCCCCCACACACACACACACACACATGTGTCGGTTCAGCTGCTGGCTGAGTCTGCATACGCAACCTGCACAGCCCGAAATGTGGCTTTTATTGATAATGTTAATCTTTTCTGGAAACATCCTGCCTTTTTCCGCCCTGATGGTGTCCACACAACTGGCCTGGGGTCACGCACTCTATCTGACTATATTTTCTACTCCATCTTGACTTCGCCATTGCATTTCCTCACCTGGTAGCCTATCAACACAAGCATTCCCCTCCCTCCCCTATAAGCAACACTAGCTTCCCCTGGCGGCTTAGTGGGTCTCCTATACTCTCTCTCTAGTCTCCACCTTAACTTCCACCCATGAACAATCGCATGTACGCCTAAAGCTTCCTGTGCTGATGAGGACACAGTGTCTTCCCCCATTAAAATGTGTCTGAATAATCCCCGCTCGGTAGCGAACAAGGCTTACATTCTAAATGGCTTTTGTTCACAAGTCATAATTTGGTTTTCTTATTTCTGACTGAAACCTGGCAACATAATATGGAATACATCCACTTAAATGAACTATGCGACATTGTTATCTTTATCTTTTCCACACATGGGATGTGAGATAATAAGACACTCTATTGTTTTACTCCAGTAGCTCAATAAATCACTCAATGAAACTGTATTTTGCTTTTCTATTTCCACCTACTGTATGGGTTCATTGACAGACACGATCCTGCAGGCCCCTAAAGCGGGTCTTGTCCTTAAACCTGAAGAGCATCATTAACCGTGTATCTTAAAGGAGCCTTAGAGGCAACAAATGTCAGGAATAAAGATATCTGATGAGTGAAAAATACAATCTGTTGCATGAATACATAATATAGTGACTTCAATATTTAGATATCTAATAAGTTATCTATTTTACATTTCCTCTACATATTTATTTTGAATGTATTTATTTTACTAAAAGCAGTCAAAGAGCATATGAGACATTTGTATGAACAATTGTTAGAATTCACAGCATCATTATAAGTCATATTACAGTCGTATTAGCTATTTGTGAGAATATGCATAAGTGGTTCAAGCCGTAATAACCCATTTATAGTTGCACAGCAACCTGACCACTGGCAATTAATCTAATCGTATCATAGCTGAACTGATTGCCATATCCAAAGAAGAGAAGAGTCCTTTAGTTTCCAAGTTAAGGAAGTGACTTCCTCTCCTAAAACCCCTCAAGGGTCACATGGTAGAAGAAAAAATATTATGTGGAAGTATGGTCAGGGATTGCAAAACAATTGCTAAACTGAGGACATGGATGAACGCAATGGTTAAGCAGTGCATGTGCATGGATTGATATACTTTGAGAGCTGCAATATGTAAAATTATAAAGATTATAGATAATAAGTATATAACATCACAAATTCTTGAGTGTATGGCTGGCTTTGATTATATAATACTGTGAGGAGAAAGTTGATGAAAGTTGAGTATTGTAGCAATAAAAAGGAATTGTACAGAGTGTAATTTAAGGTCAGGCTGGCTGATTGTCTATTATGTGCGGCCTCTGAAGTACAGATGACTTAACCCGGGAGCTCCATCTACCAATCTGTGTTTTCGGTTTAGCAATTGGTGTGTTCAGATTTCCACATCAGTATTGTTTGTTTTGTCTAACCTCCTGATGCACACGATCGTGCTGTTTTCAAATTCTGTAAGATCACACTTCAAGACAACTCTAGGGAATCAATTATAATGCAAAAGCAGTGTGGTGAAAGAGATGCTGTTGTATATGCCTTTTTAAGTGGTAACATATGCAAATGGAAATGGAAATTTTTGTACCTGCACTACATATTCACGGCATCCTTACGATCCAATAATAGACCTATGTCTCGGTATTATCATTCACTGGCATTCATTTTTGATGACAACTACAGCATACTGTACATTTAGTTCAGTTCTTGCTCTACAAAAATGTCACCCTATGCCTGTAGGAAATGTCTTCCATTGAATTGCCTCGGTTTTGGTGGGACCTTGACATCAATCAACAGCAATGTGACTGCCATATGTTTGTGTTTGATTGCTTCGTATGAACCTGTGTCTTATGTGTGCTCTCTCTTTAGCAGCCAGTCACAGCCTGTCTGTTGAGCGCAGCCTTCTTCGGTGCCCTGGGGTCATCTTTCATTTACGGCTACAACCTCTCTGTGGTCAACGCTCCGGCTTTGGTGAGTCAAACCTTTGCAGTTCTGCTTGCAGAGAAGCACCATTGATTTTTCTCCATTTGTTAACACTGCTAGAAAATCAATAAACATTCATTTCAACAGTGCTTCAGAGCCAGAAATGCACAGTTTCACAGTTTCTCACAGTCTTTAAAGACACATTCAACAGAAACCAGTGGGCCCTATTCTGAAACTAAAAATATACAAAAATGTGTAGCCAGAAGGTCTGTTCAGTTTAGATTAAATGGCCGAACGATCAATCAGCGATAGCCAGTTCATATTCTACGATATAGCTCAGTGCTTTTAACATTTTGATCTTTTAAATTCAAAAGTTGCATCATAATCACTTCAAAAAGATAATTTTTGCGTTCAGGGTTTAATTCATTACAATATTTTTAGTGATCCTATCTTAAGTCTCAGGATGGAGAAGAGGGAATGTAATTAAAGAGAACATTTGTTTACTGCATAGACCACTGTTAGTACAGGGTCTCCTGTCAGATAAAGGAAGAAAGACATCAGGCTGGAAGACAATTATGTGTATTTAGCTAAATTAGAATGGCAAACAGCATTTTTGGAGGTCATCCTTTGTTTTTAGTCGGGCCTTGTTGGTTTTTAGTGGTAATTAGAAGTCCCACAGGTCATTTAATTAGTATTAAAGCATTATAAAAACAGAATTTTAAACAATGCAGTATAGGAAATGTTGCACGAAATGTAGAAAGCAGATTAAGATTTCACTGAAAGGTAGAGCCTCATTTTCAATAAATGGACTGCAATATAATTTAATGAATAATTGCTATTTTTAAAATGACTGTGAAAACAAGGTGAAAGGGGTCGCTCGTTGATGGATGAAAGATAAAACTACTTTATAGCAAGTTATAGCAAGCTGTCTGATCTGTATGTGCACTGTTTTGGTTCACTCTCACCACACTCGTAATGTTGCTTTTGGCTGCAGTGGGCAGCATTTTAGTTCATTTAGTTAATCATTAGATTTTCTTTCAATATTAAACAAATACAAATTGCAATTCATACCCATATTTTGCTCGTAATTTTATCATATATTTGTCTGCTGTAACTAAAAAAAATAAAAAATTTGAAAAAATACATGATTTGTCTTTGAAATTGCAATGTCGACACAAACGCCAACAATTGTTTTGCAAAACAGTATGATTTTATAGTGCACTAAACGCCATGTGGTCTTAGCTTAATATGGAGCTACGGCTACTAGCCAAAAACTTCAACCCCACCACATTAAAAGCTGGTCACATGAGGACTAAATAAATGCCTGTATAGGTTTAACTATTCCACTATCCGATGTAGTGATCAGAAATACAATTATTTGCTTCAGAAGTCGTGACCCAAAACACAGCTGTCTTAGAGAATCACCCATGTGTCCTAGTCCTCCTCTTGGACAGCTCACGTTTTGTTAACCTAATTTAACACACCCGCATGAAAATTAAATTAGGAAGGTCTCTAAAGCCTCTACACCTTTAAATAGTGGGTCCTCCTACTATACTGTACTTGTTGTGTACTTCCGCAGTATTGTCAAGGGAGATAATTATGTGAAAAGCTCACAACTTGTTTGAAAGTTGCTGCTTCGATTAAGTGGCGTGAAGGTAAAAAAAAAGAAAAAAAACCTCTATCTTTCCTTCACTGAAACCCTGAGGGTGTAATTCGGTCACAGAGCAGCGGGGTTCTTCTTTTAATTAGATGCTGTATTTACGAGTTGAGCGAACCACACCGTGATCACACCTAGCCGTGAGTGGTGAATTCAGTAAGCAATAGGAGGATGAGAGGGTGAGAGAGGAAACCAGGAGGCTGTGACCTATGAGTCTAATTGGTACTTGTGTGAGCTCCGGGATCAGTCCAGCAAGGCTGTGTTGCACACCATCATCACCAGCTGAAGGTGAATGATAGAAAAATACAGGTTCGCTAGAGATGCCCACTATTAAAATCCTGCCCCTGGTCAGAATCACAGAGAAGCGATGCATCACTAGCACCTCTGTGCTAATACTGACAAAACAAGTCCCAAGTGCTCTCACTAGAGTGTCCCTTCTCTTTTGCCTCTAACCTTTTATTATTTCTGAAAGGGGCCAATGATGGAGTCTTGTTTCTGCAAAATACACCAATTTCTGTTGAGTAGGACCGTGCTTCACTGTACGGCCTCCCAGATAGCCCCCTTATGAATCTCTCAGTGACAACCTGCTTATGGGCGGTTCAAGCTTCACAATGCATTAACATCTAACTCTATGCTGGGCTTTCAAAAGAGTTGTTGGGGGTAGTTTTTCCCATATCCGAAGTGAGGGTCTGCAGATTTGTGATATTGGGCTATATAAATAAGATTGATTTGACTCGAGTACAGGTTCACCAGAAGGCCAACATTTAAGGTTTAATCAACCTGTTTAATAAAAATCCACTAAAATCAGAATCAATTCCGCACATAGCGTACATACATACAAACCAACATTCAGTTTTCCCCATGCACTTTTCCTCCAACAGCGAGCCAATCTGAGAATGTTGTGAAGCTGCAATTTGCAAATGAATATTAGTGTTAAAAAATGCATGGCCATTAAATCCTAATGAGATTCTAAGATCTTAGACATTAAATATGTGATCAGATGGCAAACATCTACTCTTTTTAGAGTTGAAACGTCTTTTCTCAGATTCAAAGCAAACCAATATTCAGTATTCCTTATTTTAAACTCAACTCCAAATCATTGGGAATGCCAGGTGATGGCTTTATGCAATTACTTTCTTTTGAACATTGTTTATGTGCGAAATCTCATTTCCGTAGCTGGGGTAGGGGATTAAAGGAACCTGATTTACCCTGCCACATTTCTTTGCTTTAACCAGGTTTCTAATTTGCCTTTTTGCTTTTCACATGTGCCAAACAAAGTATTGTTGTGACAGCTGTAGAGAAGGATCAAAGGAAAGATACATTCAAGAAGCAATACATCCTCATATTCAAACTGATTTAATCCTAAATTCGATTTAAACTGACACTTGACACTAAGTAGCCTTCAAAAACATTTGCACCAGTAAAAACTGTGCTCTTATGACACAGCCTCCCCTCCCTTTGTACTGGTCTTTGTGTTGGCCCAAATACGTCAAGTCAAACACACCAAAACAGGAAGCAGCATAAAATGCAATTAATAAAACAAGACACAGTTCCAAACTTATGGAAAATTGAAAATACCAACATTAACAAAAATCAACATGCGACAACAACATACAACAATTAATTCAGTTATTAAAGTAAAACAAAATGTAGAGGCTTTTGACTGAAGTCTTAACTGACTGAGCTTGTATGTTTGCAGGGAGTGACAAAGTCTGATCCTTTGTAAATATTTATCTTTTTTCATTTGATTTGGCTGCATCAACTGCAGGAAAAATAGAAAGGGTTCCGTAAAAACCCTGCTGAAACCAATGTAGCCCATTTTTACACCAATAAAAGAAAGGATGATGGTGTTTTCAGAAGTCGTATCAACGTCGCATCAAAAGTAAGTCTGCCTGGCACTTGCAAGGACGTACCACCCCTGAGAGCCATAGCAGACAATGGACGTGGCTGTTACCAGGGCCACCTCTGCACTCAGCTCAGTCTGGAGCACTAATAAGACACGCTCTCCACTGTGCATCAGCCTTTTAAGTTTATAAGGATAGCGTTTGAATCTTGTTTGGTGGTAGGATGATTAATGAGATTTTCTTTTCATGACCCTGAGCTGCGAAACATCAAATAACGCATGAGTCTCAAATGTAAAGCGCAAGATTAAAGTAAAGTAGAAGGTCATTTTGTTTTGTAAAGCTGAAAGGTTCCACCATTAAAAGGACACTTCAGTGGAAGCTTCAGTGCTTTGAGACAACGTATTTATTGACCTGTTGTAGATTGCTTTAATAATCATTTCATGCAGTCGCTCAGTTTGCTCTCCCTTGTACAACATTGTAAAACTGAAGAGACTATATAGCTGAACATTACATTATGAGTTGTCATAGTGGATCCACCTTTTAGTTATAGTTCAGTTTTGCCTTTATAGTTGAACGAAAAATGTAAACTATCACTGTGTAATAATCTACCATTCAAATGAGCCATCAATTTAAAAGGTGTCTTTCTCCCACGTCTCTTTTGTATTGCAGTACATTAAAGCTTTCTACAACAAGACATGGATTGAGAGATACGGGGAGCCTCTTGCAGTAGAGACGGCCACCCTCCTCTGGTCCGTCACGGTGTCTATATTTGCTATCGGAGGCCTTCTCGGAGCGCTGTCCGTTTCCATGATTATCAAAGTGCTGGGAAGGTGAGTCGACTCAGTTGTTCTTCTAATCAAGTCTTGTTCAAGTAACACAGAAGTGTTTCTCCGACAATTGTATCAGCCTGGGACCTGAATCCTGGAACAAGATTAGCAAATTTGCCAGCTAACTTTGGGTATCATGAATAAAATGAAGTTATGTTGGTCAAGAATAGCTTGTTTACGGTATTCAAAACAACAGCCAGGCCGGCGCCCCCATCTCAAGACACTCATTGTGAGCATCTTTACACTTCTTAGTTTCTTGTGACAGGAAAAAGCAGCGTGAACCGCTCACCCAGCCGGCAGTCAGTGCTATGATTGGTTCAAGTTCAGTTGTCTGTTCTCCTTTTCCACAAGGTTACAGTTTTCAAGGGTTGAATTGAAAAGCATTCTCTGCTCTTTGTTCTCTACTTTTCATTTGAAATTAATATATACTACCAAACAAATTCTTAAGTCAACACTTAAATAAACTGTTTCTCAGAAAACTGTTACTTCCTGTTGGCCTGTACAGTCTGGAAGCCGTCTTCAGACACGTTGGAGTCAGAAATGTCCTTGTGTAGCTGTATGTCTTCCTGAAACACAACACACTGCTCTCACGATACTCTCTCTTACTGCTCCTCCATCTTGTTAGCCAGTGATCTCACATTTCACATCTCAATGGCAGGTAGATGTATCCCGTGTTTGTCGGCTGCCTCTTTTGGTAGATCCAGAACCTGAATTAGGACACATGAATAGTGTGGTGAGGTTGACATCACACCCACATCATGAGCAGCCTCCTTTGAATAGTACAACGCAACTCCTTTCTTTATCCTCTTGACGCCATGACTGCCGTTCTCACTTTTTTTATGAAGTTTATTTTAACCTCTGCTAGCTTTTGCTCCAAAACATGTTGTTGATCAGTCCCCTCTTAAAACTTTTTTTTATAGTGAAATCATTTATGAGTGTGTTTTCATTCCACTCTTATCGTTTCACATTTTTAACTTAATTTTATTATCCCCTGGTGTTTTATGATCCCTATGTTGTTTTATTTGTTTTTGTTTGTATCTGCAGTGCGACATTAATAAAGTTTATTATTATAGTAATTATTACATTCATGTTTTTTTCATATTTAGATTAGCTAGCTGTTGGTTCTGCTATTTAGATATTATATCACAAAAAAACAATTGTACTCATTTTGACAAATTGAAGTGAAGTGAATAAATAATCTTTGTACAGAAATGACATTTGTGTAGGATCATTTTACCGTGTACCTATATTGTTTCTTCTTTTTACAACCATATTCTCTTCTTGACATTAGAAAGGGAACCTTGCTGTTGAATAACAGCTTCGCTCTAATAGCTGCTCTGCTGCTGACCCTGGGGGAAAGGGCCAAATCTTTTGAGATGCTCTTCATTGGTCGGCTCATAATTGGGGTTGACTCTGGTAAGTGTTTCATTTATACTCACCACTCACTAGGCAGTGTACAAAAGTCAGTGTGCTGCAAACTACTACATGGTAGACAGTAATGGCGAAAATGTAATAATGTAAGTCACGGACAGACCATGGCAGTATACCGGATGATTTATTATCAAAGTTGCACAAAGAAACTTAAACTGTTGGCCTCCTGAGAATGCAACATATCAAAGTTCCTAAAATGTAGATATGCAGTTGGTATAATAGTTAAGATCACATCTAGAAAACTTAACTTTGTTTATGTGGAAAGGAAATGAGAAAGATGATGAATATAGGCTTGTGGTTTAACCCCACCCCAAGGAAAAATGTGTAGATATCGAGGGTGTTTTACTTGACAGACCTGAGAGCACTGATCAGTGAGCTATCAGTAAGACTTTGATTGCAGGTCTAACTTTCCCTTCTGAGCGAATATCTCCAATCATAGAGGAAGAGCTTAACATCAGTGCTCATTCATCCTTGTGATTGTGGATTACGTGACCTGCAGAAACAAATTTCCGGGAGATCAAATTGTGGCTACCAAAAAATTGCCAGACAGCAGCTTGACTGCTGCTGGTAGAAAATGACCATGTGTAAGTGAGATACACTTATTTTGCCTGATAAGCACTTGACTCCTGACACCAAACAAGTGCTCCAGTACCTACATCCTCAAATACGTCTGAGGTCTTAATGTCAAAAGGCTCAGGAACAATATCCAGCTCAGCACCGATGTGTTACCTACAGAAATATACTTTTTCACTGCAGTGCATGATCACAATTTCTGAGTTATGGAAATCGATGTGTGCAAAATGCCGTCAGATAGAGCTGGTCAATACAGAGAAAATCAAATATCACAATATTTTTGACTTCCATCCATCCATCCATTTTCCTCCGCTTATCCGGGGTCGGGTCGCGGTGGCAGCAGGCCAAGCAGGCTGACCCAGACCTCCCTCTCACCGGCAACATGTTCCAGCTCATTCTGGGGGATCCCGAGGCGTTCCCAGGCCAGCTGGGAGATGTAATCTCTCCAGCGTGTTCTGGGTCTTCCCCGGGGTCTCTTCCCAGTTGGACGTGCCTGGAAAACCTCCAGTGGGAGGCGTCCAGGAGGCATCCTAATTAGATGCCCGAACCACCTCAGCTGACTCCTTTTGACTTAATACCTCAATATTGATTTTACAACAATATTGTCGGCTTGACCGTTGGTGCCTTTATAAAATATTGATTTTTTTGATAAATAATCATCACTAATTTGGATATAATGACCAAGTGGGTAGAGGCATATAATATAAGTTCAGAAAATGACATCACATTAAACATGGGTCTGTCTTTTGTCCTTTTCATAGCATTTTAATATGTTGTTGTTTCGACAGGTATAGCTCTCAGCGCCCTCCCCATGTACCTGGGAGAAATTACACCAAGACATATCCGAGGTTCCATTGGCCAGTTCAACTCCGTCCTCATCTGCTTGGGAGTGTTCACGGGACAAGTGCTGGGGCTGCCCGAGCTGCTGGGTCAGGTCAGTGCTGTTGAGATTGTAGACCCTAGGAACATATGGGAGTAATATTTGTGATGTTACCTTTACGTTGCTTACAACTCTGCGATAGCATCAGTTCCTTTCCATTTCTCCCATACAGCCTGGGATGGCCAAACGTGTGGCCTGTTGTGTACTCTCAGTTTCACATCAATTTGCACCTTAATAATTCCTGCAACTCTTAAGACTCTCATGTCTGCCATGTGATCTCGACAACCTCATGTGTGACATGACATGTGACATCAAGGTGTGATTAGGTTTAAATGTCAAGGACCTTTCCATCTGTCAGTGGAGCCGATGAAGCCTCATGGATAAGCGGCAGACTGCAGCTATTGTCCAGTGGATCGTTTTATTTTTACTTGAGAAGTGTGAGCTTGTAACGGAGAAAAAAACCCCTCCGCTCGCAGTTAATGATTTCCCATCAATTTGTTTCTGGGCAAATGAATAGATAGTGTGTGTCCTCCTCAGCCACATCAGTAACAAAATCATGTTTGTTTTATCCTGCTCAGTATTTGATTTGTTTTATCTGTTCCTTGTTTCAATAAGATAGCAGCAGGAATTCTCAGTCACACCGTATTTACCCTGGAGGGAATGGTTTCCTCTTTCCCCCATTCTCACCTTAATGCCCCCAACTTTAGCAATCCTTACTCGGCCTGCTGCTGAAGTATTCTCATGGCAACAATCCAGTCTTCACTTGATTATTCATGTGCTAGATTTTAAGTTTATCTTTTAGGGATGAAAACATACTTAGTGACTCTCTGCTGGGGCCAGGGAGGTGCAATCCTTACAACAATTGAAATACCAATAAATAAGAAAAATTCAAGTGTGTCAAATGATGCTCTGTGATATGGTTTGTATGACAAATCCCATATTTTAGAGTTAAGCATTCACATACTGAATCAACACTACATTGGGTCAGTGTGTGGAGTGTACCAGAAGACAACATTGTCAACATCAGCACATTCTTGGTTTTGCTGGTGGTCTGTAGTTAAATTGAACTTGTTGGTCTGATGTAGGCTATAGTAGTAAAACCCACAATCAAATTGGAAAATGTAACACAAACTGGTTTGCTAACATGTCTTCCATGAGCATTTTGTGACAAGACAGTAAAGTAATATAAGCTTTACTAATAAGAAGTTATTGGGTTTAAGAAGATAGAATACCTTGTAGTAAACTGTTCTTCTCGACTGTGGATTAGCACTAAGACACATTCACTAAGTAACACCAAGCACATTTTTTATACACTTACCTGTTTTCACACGTCCTAAATCATTTTTCAGACACACAGTTTCTCACTTACCTCACACTCCCCACCCTTACAAACACCCACAAGCACATGTTTAAGAATAATTTATTTTAAATTTCATCATTATTTTAATATTATGACTTTTTTTATTTGATCTTGAAATAGATTTTATTTCATCTTATCCCATCCCACTCACATAAAAACAATCACACACCAACCACTAACCAAAATGGCAACCAAGCCTCTATCAAAGAAGGAGATGAAGAACATCTGGATCTCAGCATTTGCAACAGAGAAACCAAAAAGGAAAGACTCAATGGAAGGAAAAAGTCTACACCCAGTACAAAAACAGCTCCATCCCCCCAAACTTGAAAACTACAAACAAAAAGACCACAACAGGACAAAACATGACAGGAGCAACTACAAACACCAGAACACCAGACAGCCCAAACCACCACCTACCCAACCTCCCAAAGACCCACGCCTGTACCACCACAAGCAGTTAGCCAACAAATCCACAACCATCCAAAACGGTTCACCCTCAGTAGACAGCATTATCCAAGAAACTCCCAACGAACTGGATTTACTGCAGCTTGTCACACCATCAGGGGGAGCTACTGCACCACAAAAGAACGGTCACAAACTACAGAGGACCAAAGCACTAAAAGAAACACCAGCACTCCCCCTTCACCATTTCAATCACCAGCACTAACGCCCCAACGTTACTGGACAAAAACAAACAACTATTCACTAAACTCAATAAGAACATCGTACCAACTACAAAACACTTATGGGCTCATGAGCACAACACTGACGCATGGCAAACCTGTGGCAGCCCCCCATACTGCCGTCATCCAAAACAAGGAAAAATACAGTGAACTATTCAGCATCAACCCAAATAAGTGAGCACGGAAGGAACAAGAAAGCACAGATTCATCCAAAAGCCCCTCACTCATACCAGTGGTCATAAACAACATCAACAAAGGCTTCTTTACCACCAACGAATCCATGAGGAACTGATGTATGAGACCAAATCAATGTCAATATCCGCATGCACATATGAGATCCACGCGTGTGGTTCTGTAGCGGCCCTGTGCGTGCAAATACACAAGTACAATATCTACGTCTGAGATGTAGTGGAGTAAAAACTACAACATCTCATTGGACCTCTTGAAAAAAAAAATTGGATCAATGCTCACCCAAGCACACGTTTGACCTCAGAAGTAAAACTGAGTAAAAATCGGTTCTAGGGGATCTATGTTCAATAATTCACCTTGTGATGACCCCTGTGGAGTCATGTACATCAGCACCGTCGAAATAGAATAGAAGTGGAACGGAGATTGAACCGTTTGCCGTGGTCATTTGACTAGTTCAAAAGAAAATGGGTATTTTTGTCGATAGTTATGGGGACAACACATGTCAGTAGGGCAATAAAGTGTGTTGCTCTACTGCTAAGCCGGCGGCAGAGTTAGTCACAGGGCTGAATCGACGTCTGTTGAGGCGTCGATTCATACCCTCTTTCTTTCTTCCTTATAAAAAGGACAGCCATCATGGCGGGACTACATGCACACACACTAGAGACGCTGTTGTTTCACACGTCCCGCCGGTATGAGTGCGTCCGAGCACATAAAGTTGGCCGGTACGTGATTGTGCATTAGTTATCAGCCTCTGCCATCAGTGTGTGAATGTGTGCGTGAATGGGTGAATGTTGACATGTATTGTACAGCGCTCTGAGTGTTCCCGAAGAAGAGATTCTTTTCTGTCTAATCTATTCTTCGGAACACTCCGATTTAACTTATTTATGTACCATTTATTCTATTTCTATGATCAGTAGACGCACACATTATGTTCGGACTCAAAACCATCCAAGATATCACCCTCACAAAGAAAAACACACAGAGAGCCAGAGCTAGATGTATTTTGAAAGGATTTGACAAGATTTTCCTCTCCTATTTTGTGCTGACATTTACACATGGGCTTAATGTCCGAGCTTCTAGCAAAGTAGGTACTCATCTTTCATTTATAAGTATTGGTTTGTCCCATCCATCATTTCGACCTGCAGACGAATATCAAATATCAAATGGAGCCACTGCTATGTATTCATGTCACCGCTGTTACACCCTTCCACAAGCATCACAGACACCTTTGATGTCTTATGATAATACCACCATGGTCTTTGCTAGCCTTTGGTCCTTCATTTCAGTGGAGGCATCTCTTAATGAGAGCTAGTCTAAGATGTCACTTTTTGCTCCAAAATGGTGATAAGCTTTGACAAATGATAATTACTCTAACCTTCATGCTTAGCCACTGACCTTTCCTCAGTAGGGACACATGCTTATTACATTACAGCAAGAACAGGCTTTTGTCAACTCCCCTGAGACTCTGAACTCATCAGCATGCCTCAAATGCAGCTTTCACCAGTAAGGTTAGACTCAGAGGGTGCCTTAATCTTTACATCCTCCATCATACCTGCCTTTGGCTTCAGAGGGTTGTGTAAATGGGCAAAACAAATCAATGGATTGTTATATGTTGGGATGGTCCCTGTAATACAATTCATTTAAGATTATTGTCACACTGATTATCAGAGTGATATGGTATTCTAAATGACTTTGATATTACAGGAGGTACCGTGTGTACTATACGTATATGCTTTCAGCTCCTTGCAGCTTAACTATACAGTACACTGTATTCTGTACAAGAGTAGCTGAGCATTCCGTGTTTTTGCTGCATGACTCTTAATTGAAAAGGAAATGTGCAAGACCTGTTGTGTTTGCAAATCTTGAAGACAGACTTCAGGTGTTGTTGAAAATGAAATTAGTATTAAAAGTAAAAATATAAGCCATTGTTTTTGTGCAGTGCTAATATTAAAGGAATAGTTTGACATTTTTGGAAATACGTTTCATATTCACTTTCTGAAGAATGGTCTGGCAAGGTACAGTAATTAAAACTGACCCAACACAGATAATGTTAGCTTGTATAATTGGATACATCACAGATGTGGGCCACCTGACGTTTCCATTACCTCTATCTGAGAAGTTATCTGTTCACACTAACCTCCTCTCTGGCTTTGTGGTGGTTCTCCTGCAACAGCAGCCCGAGCTCCATGAAGGGCACATTCTCAACTCAAAACAAAAAAATAAAAATGGGTTTCATCCTCTGCTTTTGTTCAATCAAAGGATGACATTGTACACCCTGCAGCATCATGCATTCTCAGATCAGATAATTGAAAGGGAAAATGGAATACAGCATGAACCATTTGTCTGCTGCTTTACAGTAAACAAGTAGCACCCCAGATCATAGCAGGGCTGTTTTTATCACTATGGATGATGGGACCAGGGACCAGGAGGGAGACACAGCTTGGATCACCCAGCTTGCCCTAGTTAAGAGCAGTTTAGCAGCATTTAGTTTGTGAACTTGTGAACAGGACTGAAACTGTGTGTGTGTGTGTGTGTGTGAAGCACATAGGTCAAACCTGATTATTAGGCCTTGTATGTCAATGTTCGATTGTGGACACCCGAGCTCATAAGCTTCATATACTTTACATCTACATACTGTAAACCTTCCTTGATTAAGCACATTCAACTGTGTGTGCAGTCAATATAAGCTAGCTGAATGATATCGAACCACAAAATTGTATAGAGGTAAAAAAGATATTTCTTATTACAGTCTACAGAAATCAATGCTTGTATAACATCAACTCAAATTTGTTTGTGTCATAGCAGCCTCTGAGAAGTCTGATTTAAGCTCCCACGCTCATCTCCAGCTGGGATAAGACGACCCACAGCTCAGTGCGGCATGCAAACATTTACATAGCTCACCCACGACTTAGTGCACAGAGGAACATGGTGAAGAGATGGAGTGTTACTAGTCTTTCATCAGTCAAAGGCCTACATCATACATTTTTTTAAATATTTCTGGAAATATCCTTCTGAGAAAGATATCTTCCTTTTCCTTCTCATTTTGAATTATTGTTAAGTGAAGAAAATATATATTTTCTTCTTAAAAGTATCTGGAAGTGTCTTTTATATATTTCTTAGAGATCAGTGATAGACATGAAGGTAGAGGTCCACATGAAAATAGTAGTCTCTCCAGATTGTGAAAGTATTTTTCTTAGAACCTATGATCCCTAGTACAGTATAATAAAACCACATCCTTTAATTTGATGCAAGTTTTTTTCACTATGTGCACGGTTACACATCATTTCTTAAACGTTCATACACCATCATGCATCGTGGTCTTGTGCACATTTTAGTTGTGTTGTTTTGAAGGGTTTATGAATTCAAAAAATATTGTAAAAGTGCATCAGCCTCATAACAAAAGAAAGGAGCACCCAGTTTAACTTGTCTATGTAAAAACACAGTCACTAGTGCTGCATGACTGCATGCACAGATAAAGACCTGACAAGCGGTGCTGGGCTGCCACGAACAACAGTGAGAGCAGAGCAGATGCTGCGCTAGCTGTCCTTTGTGTCAACAGAACAGCTGGGGGAGAGTACTTCACTCTGCTTCATTGCATGTCTCTACATCCCTACCATCGAACCACTTCACTTCTTTATCCTCACAAACCAAACCCGCTTTGTTCCACTAGATTACATACCATTTATATATGGTACATTCTATGTTTATGCGACTGATTTGGCGTTGCTTTTTAAATTCAGTCAAAGGGAAGACTGGTGTAGGCTGGGTTAGAAGACGGTAAGAGCTTTCTCTCTTGGGTTGGATGGGTGCCTGGTCATCCCCTAAATCTATTGATTTGGCGCTGGAGTCTGTGGGAGATGTAAGAACATGAGTAACGCGAAGATGAGACACACAACACAGCTCTTATGATTATAGGCTCTCTGGATCCTTTGATGCTGAAAAGCTGATATAGTGTCTTCTTTGATCTACGGCTCCTCCAAAGCTTGATATGTATTTACTGTTTTTCCCTCCACATGTTTGGTTCTGCAGGTAATTGAGTACGATGACAAGGATGATGGGTCCTGTTATGTGTGCTACCTGTGATTTTGTTTATGTATCAAATGCATCAATTTCTTGTACATGAACTGCACAAACAGTGAAGTCTCAACATTAATGCAGAGTTTACCCTTGATTGTTAGTATATTTTATAGAACTGGGACTTCCACAGAGACTTTCACACAAATGTCATACAGCAAAGCTTTGGGTCTGCTATATAATGTTTATGGGTAAAGGTTTTGTTGTCTGCTGCATAAAACCACTGACTGTAGCTTCAACAAGAGCGAAACAAAAGTTTTTTTGAATCATAATTCTAAGTTAATATGTGAGGAATACACATCTATAAACTCAGAAAACCATGGTCCAAATTGATTACGAAACTCCATTTGGAAATGTGTTTATTTATTGAAAAGAACTGCTGTCAATTGCTTGTAAGATCACCACAGGGTGGCTGTGGGTAATTGTGACGACACTATTTTGGTGTGAGCGCCATCTTTTGGCCACCTTGGACTATGGCACTTAAGTTCCTCCTTCAGTCTATGAGGAGGAACCACAGACCCGTGGCAAAATTATGCAACTGACTGTTGTGGTGCTCCTCCACTTTAGTGAGTCTAACAAACTGTCTATAATTATGTGTCTTCCATTGTTATCTAATGTATACATTTACAGCACAATCCTGCATTTCTTGAGAACCTTACGCACTGACGCCAGAAAGGCTTACTTTTGGAATTGGCTTGTAACCCTGACGTTTATATATCTGCAGATATAAACCCTTTTGGTGGTTGTCAGTAGTGGTGACAGTTGGCCCTATGTTTCCAGTGTTATGTTGTGTTTGATTAACTATCACGCTATTCAATTATTATGTCGCTATTTTATTATTGCTGTATTATCTCCATTATTTGAATGAATTCAGATTACTTCTTCTAATCTTTATCGTTTCCATTATTTATTTATTCACTACTATTTCCCTATTATTCTGGTTGCTGTTATTATGATATTAATAAGGTGCCTGAAAATGAATATACTAATAATTGTGATTGCCAAAGCGGATACAAATATTTATTTGTACATTATATTATATTGGGGCGTCTCTACAAGTATTAACCAAGGAAATTACACCTTAATGATGTTGATTAAGGTTGCAATTTTTACAATTATGATACACACTCGACCAAAAGCAGAGCTAAAAGTTTTTGCTAACATGTTCGACATATCAACTCTATAGAATAACAATTTAAATTTAAATTTAAATCAGTTGGACTGTTGAAATAGTTTCAGCCACAAGAATGGGAGGTACATTATACTGCACAGTAGCAGATACTTGACTCCTTAAAGTGTAATCACATTCTGTTTGACAAGTGTTGCAGACTTTATAACTCACGAGTGAGCAGTTAATTTACAGCTCAGGCTGACAACACGGGGCGTTAAATAGAAGTTAATTATATTTTTAAAAAAGTTTTACAGTCTGATTAAAAGTTTTTCTACTCGTGTAGTAAAGGTTATAGGCAACTTAATCCCCAAAACAGTTCTTATGAGTTGAGAGCTGACATTTTCTCCCCAAATGGCATCTCCTTTCCACAGTCTCTGCATAATTGTCTCCCTCCTGTTTGCACGGGTGAGATCACGAAGTGTGCTGAATAGTGGGGCGTCCTGTCATTTATCTTTTGGGCAATGCTTTGTGTGAGGTATACTCGTACATTTTCTGTGTTTTTGCAATGTATAAGAGATCTTTTACGGTGTGTGATGGTGGTGACCTCAACATAGACTGATCTTCACACTCTTCTTAGCTTGACTACAAGTATTATCTTATATGACCCTTTGCTGCAGAAAAACACTTCACCGAAAAGCTTTCATGAATCTATAGCTGGCTTTGATAAATATTTAGCCTCTGAGGCATTTTGTAAAGAAATCACCTTGTAATGGAACTGAGACAACCTATGACTAACAGCTTCCCTACTAATGAACTCATGTTTGGCTATTTCTCTCCATTACTCTATTACTTTGTATCCATGTTGTCTATAGTCAGTCCGTAACATCGGCCTAGTTGTGATACAGAAACAAAAACACAGTTTCTTGCATTCCTGCTGTAAGTTTTAAGATGTATTGGCCTCATAATCAGCTGATCATTTTGTACTTCACCTGTCATGGCAGTGACTGGGAGAACAGCCAACTTAATATTTGAGTTTATTGTCTATTAAGGCCGGAGCACCCTTGACCAAAGTCAATTCTAAGACAAAAGGGAGGTGCCAATTAAAAAGAGCCCCCTGTTGTAGACATACCATAAATCCATTTACGGTGGCGACTGTAATGAGAGTTACCTAACAAGAATTTTGATTTTGTATTTTTGTAGTTGTTGGGATATGGGGGCAAAACTGAAACACAACACTTTTTCCACACAACACTATTCAGTAATATTGTTATTTAGAAATTCACCATTTGCATACACATTATGCAAATGGTGAATTTACTTCGGTGAAGATACTTTTCCATTTTTTTTAGGTAAACATATGCATGAATAAATGCATCACTTGAAGACCATAAGTCTTATACTTAGCTTACGCATTCCAAGCATTCATGCCTTAAGCTTATGCCCTATTTTCTACAAGCACTGTAACTCATTGCTGTGTTGCATTTAAATGACAATCAGCACTGCTTGCAGGAATTCTAAATGAGGGTATGATGTGCATCCTCCTATTCTTTGGAGTATCAGTTTTGTTTAATGTCTTTGTATATCATAAACCATGACTACAACATAGATCTTTTTTGGATGTTTTGACTGCAGGAAACCAGATGGACCTACCTGTTTGCCTTCCTGGCGTTGCCGGCAATGCTGCAGCTGTGTGTGCTGCCTTTCCTCCCCGAGAGTCCTCGCTACCTGCTGATAGAGAGGAGGGATGAGGCCGGAGCAGAAAGAGGTATTGTATGTCAGATATTCATCCATAGTATTTGCATTTCAGTTCAGGGATTGGGATTTTCGTTTTCCTAGTTTGCTATCCTTCAGGATTACAAACATGCATAAAACCCACCAAACTATTATTAGAAACAATGTTTTTATACAATAACGATACAAACAAGACTGTAGAATAACAGAATCCCTAAAATAAATACCTTTTTAATAATCCGAAAGACACATGTATCCGCATTATGCCGTCTATTTAGAACACAAAAATATCCTTCCCTCCAGAGCAATGTCCTAGAGACGAGCCAATTCAGAGCCCTCCTTGCTGTTGCTTATGTCGGAGAGCAACCCATGCGGGGCTCGTGCGGAAAGGGCTGAGCAGAAGCCTCTGGAGGTTACATTACACGCTGGCATGCAGCCAGGCACAACCAGAGAGACGGTGTGAAATGTGCAGAGACAGTAGCCTCAAAACGCTGCCGCTTAGGGTAAGAGAGCCCACAAACATGACTTTGTGGTACGTCTACTCTCTCGCACACACAGCGGGATGAGGAGAGGACACGCTGAGCGCAGACAGAGGCGTGTGTGCACCGTCCACGCAAGGCATAGTGTTGAGGGGAAGCCTCCGGAAGCGCTCCTATGGTTACAGCAGTGCAGGTTGATTACACCCACCCCCTGGGATAGCCCTATATATTAACATGGTATATCTGCAGGGTATTAATAGAGTTGTTTACCAAGACCAGAGACTCATTGATTTCTTTCCCATTGCTTGGATTTGTGGCTTTTACAGTACCTCACGATTGCTTCCCACTAGAGTTGAAATGGGCAAACCCATTAAAGGATAGGTTCACACAATTTTTTAAGTCTGTCTTAAAACAATGGTCGAATGCCCATATGAACACTGGAATCATTCTTCCTGCTCATATAAGACATTGTGAACCTATCTAGGGCTGCAACCAAAGATTATTTTCATTGTTGATTAATCTGTTGATTATTGTCTAGATTAATCGATAGTTGTTTGGTCTATAGAATGTCAAATTATGAAAAATGTTGATCAGTGTTTCCCAAAGCCCACAATGACGTCCTGGTGTCTTATCTTCAACAATACCATAACCATAATCTATATGCCAACACCACAATATTTTCCAAACTAAATTATTTGAGCAGCTAAAGTGTAACCATAACTTAACCGTACCGTATAGCTTCCATGAGCAGAGGGCCAATCAGCAGTACATGGTTTATGAGTTTTATTAACAATTCTTACAGTCTCCTTAAAGGAAGAGAAGTCTTGAAACTCAAGAATATAATGTATTGGTAGCAGGGGCGTTTCTAGGATTCAAAGAAAGGGGGGGCTTAGCCCTAAGGGGAGCGGCATGTTTTTTGGGGGCCCATTTGGGGCCGTGGATATCCATTGTTTCAGACAGTTCATAGATTGGTTCAATCAGAAAGAGTGTGATTTTGCTCTGTAGTTTTGCTTGCATTCAGTATATGATAACACAAGAGACAGAATTTGAGGGTCATAGTGAAATTTGACAACACAAATATGAACTTTTCTCAAATAAAGAGAGAAATAATTTTCCTGCTTGTAAAGGAAAGACGGATAAACTAGCTTTCATATCCGCGTTACTCCCAAATCCTAACTCTTAAAGGGGCCGCACACAATGGATGGAGAATGGACCTGACAGTGTCAACTTTATATCGTTAAGTATGATGATATTGGATTGTAATTTGAAGGGGGAGAAAACATACAAACCAGAACGCACGCACATATGTAGCATGTTAGAGTTATAAATAACTTGTCCATGTGAGAAACAATAGTTTAATTTAATGACATCACCAAAAAAAAGTTTTGTTTTTTTTTTTCTTTTTTTAAAGCCAATAATGCCAAATTATTTGGGGGGGCTGAAGAACATTTTAGCCCTAAAATAGGTCTAACGACGCCCCTGATTGGTAGCATGTGTTAAATGATTTAGGTGTGTACTCTCAATTTCAACTAATCTATGTGCATCTTCTTGCCTAACGTTTTTACATTTCACTGACTTTATGGAAGTAATATAGTATGTGATCTCGTTAGATATTAAAATGCTGTGATATGAGAAGGAACAGCATGGGGTAGAGGCATAGCTGCATAAGTTAAGAAAGCATGTAGAATAATGTGATGTCAGATTTGACTTTGATCGTTTTTTTCTCTGGGTTTGTTTGAACTCTTTGTCTATGCCCATACTATATAAAAGGGCACTCTCTGAAGGTTTGGTTGCTCTGTTGTTTTTAATGCAAAATGGGCCCTTTAAACGAAAAATGTCCTTACATACAAAGTGTAAAACACAAAATCACATACTCAGTTTTTTTTACTAGATTACAGCTACCTAATACATTTACAATATTTCAAATGTAAGACATAGTAAAAAGGAAAAGAAAATGCCCTTTGAACTTCCAAGGGACTAAAAATCCAATGTTTGATCTTTTGAATAAAGACAAACTTTGTGGTCAAAAACAGAGGCTGACGTGCAGATTTGGGAACCAATATGTTGACAGAAAAAATGAAAGACATCAGAAGAGCAAATTGGCTGTTGTTACGTCAGCTACGTATTCTCTTTGAGCCCCCTTCTTTTGGCAAATGGCTTAGAGCCAGAGTAGGGTTACAACTGTATATTTGGAAACTATTGAGAGACGGACTGTGCATTATTGTTCTGGTCATCTAATGGGACTTGTTGATGATAATAAAAATATAGAATAACTTACACTTTAAATTCAAGCCAAAATGCATCAACATTAACCTTCTTGTCAGCCCCTTTAAGACAATCTTTATATATTTACCCCTGTTTCAATAAAGGCATTTTTATTGCTACATTAATAAAGTAGTGTCATTTCTCAAACAGTCTCAGTCTGTAATATAGGCAGTGTCATGGGGTGGAGCCCCGCTGTCCTCCTGCAGGGAAAATAAAATAGGTTACCATACATCAATATCACATCATGCCACTGACAGTGACAGCCCCTGTGTGATTCTGAATTAAAACAGATTTCCATAGTTTCTACCAGCAGGGAGAGACAATTGCATACTCATTTACGTACTGCCTCCTGTGTGGTCACTGTTCACACTCCCATGTCCTAATGACCTGCTTTTAGTCCCTGTTGGTATATAGAGATGTGCTATTCTGGGTCATGTCTTTAGCTTGTTCCCACCTTGAATTCCCACAACCCCAGGGGTAGGCGAAAGGATTAAAGAGAAGAGAGACGCTTCTTTACAGCCACCTATTCCCTCCAATCCATCACATTCAAGTAGCACAAGTTCAAACAAGCTTCTGCTGGCCGAGTTACATATGATTGCCAGAAACCTGGTCAGCTCTGCACACACACATATAAAATGTGTATGTATTTCTGTTGTTTTCTTCCTTTTGAATGAGAGAAAAACATGTGTCTTATAGCTTAGGCTTGACATGAAGTAAGTGCATTAACTTGTTGCACAACAAGTAGCGCAGAGGATTTTAATAAAAGTCATTGTTTTAATCATGAAGCTTGCTATAATATGATATTTATATTATAGTTATATTATATATATATCTATTATATTATCTATTATCTATAACTATGAAGAGAACTGCATTTGTTTGAGGACAATACAGTATATTAGAGCATTTACTGCTTTAAATCACTGTGATTGAGAGGGCTAGGTTTCATCTGCATTGCAGTAAAATGTAATATTGTGTTGATGAATTATGTATCCCGGAGGAAGCATTTAAATTGAGAACATGTTGAGCCCAGGATGTAGCCCAAGAGTATGTCACTAATCTGTTTGACTACAAAACTTTTCACGTTGAATGCAATTCTATTATACAGTTTCAAAGACAAATCTTTACTTATATATATTTAAAAAAATCACAATACATAAACAAAACTGGGACCCACTCAAAACATCAATAAAAACTTCTGCTGGTTTCTGTTTTTCCACAAAACATCTTCATCTCAAGAAGTCAACGTCTCCACTGGGGACTTTTTATATGCACACCGATCACTAATCACCATATGGGGGGCTGGGATTTTATTTTTAATTAAATTAATATGCATAATTCAATTTAAAGATGTTTTTTAAACACTGTCCTGGGAGGTGATTAACATTGAGACTGCGTTACCCAATGCTGTCTACTCATAGACACTTGATGAGTCAACAGAATACTGATTTCAGCTTAGTCTAAGTGAGTGTGCAGTTGTTTACAAATTGATCCACTCTTGAGGATATGTCTTCAGTTGCTGTGGAATAAATCCTAATCTTCTTTGATCTCAGCATGATGGCTTTTATTTGTGGATTTTTTAACGCTCTGTGTGTGTCTCAGCCTTCCAGAGGTTTTTGGGAAAGAAAGATGTATCCCAGGAGCTGGAGGAGGTCCATGCGGAGGCTCGGGCTCAGGAAAACCAACACACCGCCTCCGTGTTACAGTTGCTGAGGAACCCAGCTGTTCGCTGGCAGCTCATCACCATCGTCGTCAGCATGGCCTGCTATCAGCTCTGTGGCCTCAACGCTGTAAGATGCAGCTCACATTTTACTTTTCTCAGATTGTCAGTGGGATCTTCTTCTTTCTACCATCCTACTGCGTCATATTTAGGATTATTATTATTTGCTATAAAAAAATGTATGTATTTTTTTATTGAAGTCTATTTATGTGACAAACTTTACTGCATATCAGCATCAGACTTTTTCTGAAGATGCTCTGTTTCACCTCATCACACCTGAAAATTGTCAATCAGTTTTGGACACCAGTGGATAGATTTGTGCCACGGAAGGAAAGTAAAAAGTGTTTTCCTCCTACTTGAGTGACTCAGACAAGAGAGATAGTCATTCTGCTTTCTTTTTACCGGACCATGCAGAACACACCCAGTCTCACCCTGGGTCCCTGATTTCAGCAAGTGATATTTTAGGCAAACAGCGCAACATATTTGAAGCTACAATTTGTTTTGTCACAGTAAAACAAGTTGAAAACATCACACTGGCATGTTGTTACCTTAAACACATTCAGCAGACATGGAGCAAAATTCACATTTAATTTTAAGTCCAATGTTCCCTCTTAAAAAGTCCCATCGGTTTCAAAAGGACTGCTTGTCAGAGGATCAGGTGTGGCAGCACATTGCAGAACCCCATGAGTCGCTACATGCACAGGTGTGACCCCATCTTTGTTGTCTCTTTTAGACACAAGTTATTTTATTATTTACAAAGGTTATGTTTAAAAATCACATTCTGCATACGTACATTTTTTTTCTTTTTCTTTTTTGTTATAAAAGGTAAATTAAAATGTAAAAATATTCAAGATAAAATAGGAAGCCAGTTCATTGCCCCACTTAGAATGGATCAGATCAAATCCATATTCAGAATGACTATCATAAAGAATAATAGTTGTGCTCAATTTTTCATTATCAAATTTTCACATTCGATAGGTTGATGGATTTTTCAGTAATACTGTATAACACAAAGCCAGAAATCACACGCTCCTCTGAATTAACATAGATATAGACATGACTCGATTTACATACATTTTCAGCCCACAAAGACTGGAATTTAATTTAGATCACTCTGGAGGTCTTTATTTTGATTCACCATCACCATCAGACCTGTCAAATGACTCCAGTAAATATTATCGTGTGAGACTGACTTGGTGATGTTACAGAGGCTTATTATGCTGCAGTGAAACTGATTGCTGATTTTGAAGCTGACAGCTGAGAAAGAGTCCTGCAAACAGTGTGAGAGAATCAATCAGTGCCACAGCTTATATACTGTATATACATTGTGTGTGTATTGGTTTTCATAGATCTGGTACTACACCAGTGGGATCCTTCGGGAGACAGGCTTGGCAGAGGACATTATCCCCTATATCACACTGAGCACCGGGGCCATAGAGACTATGGCTGCCATCGTCTCGGTGAGTATTGTCACTTTAAATCAACCAAACATGTCTGATTCTGGTTATCAGGCTGCACTTGATATAAACAATCACAAGGTATGTTTCGTTTGACTTTCGGATTGGTCTTTAACTTTTATCCTTAAGATACTCTCTGATCTTTGTGTTATTACTTTTTTTTTCTTCAAAACCTAAGCTTTCAGAGGTTTGATTTTACTATCAGCCTCTTTTGATGTTGGAATATTGTCTGTTTTAATTGAGAAGGACTTCTAGGTTAGACATGTTTATGTGCGTATGTGTTCAGTTTGTCACTATACACTCAATACGTTTTCCTCAGATAGTGTTTCACTGTGCAGGAATGTAAATCTGTACCACTCGTAGTTTACTTCTGCACTAAAGATTTGTTTTAGTCTGCTCTTATAATTTTGACATTTTGCTATTGCTGCTCAAACATCTTCAGCTCAGTTGACGTGAAAAGGCACTGCTGTCTGCAGGAGTGCATATCTGCTCTAGCAGCAGATCTGTTGCTAAATGATGAAGCAGAGTGCCCCTTGCATCAAACGACTCAGCTTAGTAATTAGTTATTAATTAGGTGGGAGTGTCTATGTTATCAGGCAGTTTGTTAGGCAGATAATGTTGCATTCCACTCCAGAATAATATGCTTTAAATATTTAGGATATTCAAATCAAACTCTACACCTGGCTTTAAAATGTGACTTTTTTCATTTCTGTGGCAAGTTGAGTTTTACTCCCCAAACCCTTGGATATACGCTTACACCACAGTATGCATTCAGCTGTAGCTCTAACCTTATTTTAATGCCTTTACATCACACAAAGCTGCAAACACACAAACAATAGTTTCTGGCATATATATATATATATATACATACAATTTTCATATTCCAAAATAAGGGGAAGAAACACACAATAGAAAGCTCAGTGTATACAAGAACAGTTCACCTGCAAAATCTCAGTAAAGATGACTTATGTTCTTGCATTTTGTGGTTTGGTGATAGTTGGTTTTGGGAGTACACAGGCGTCGTGTGCACCCAGGAGACACTATTTTACCTGGTATTGCTCAATAGGGAAATTAAGATTAGCTGTGAGATTACAGACTAGACAAAGACATTTTGCTTATTAATTGTTGCATGACAATGAGACATATTTGGAAGTAAGGAACCTGTATGGTACAATTAACTTTATGCAGAAAAAGAGGTTTGAAGTGATACCAAATAGTTTACTCTACATAATATAATACAAGTCTGTCTATCTAGCAGTGTATGTTATCCAGCATTGCAATTAATGTACCTGACTAACCCGTTCTCATTATCAACTCGTCAAATATCGATGCTTGGTCAGTGCCCCTCGGCATCTGATACCAACGCACTATTTATCGTCTGCATGAGACGTACCGGGCTTCCAACTAACTCCACCGTGCATCCATTTGCGTCATTATTAGTCAGTCAGAGCAACTGACTAATATTAAGAGAAGGAAAGTCTGTGTAGGGCAAGTGGGAGTGGAGGATTGGTCAGTCAAACAAACACTGGACTTCACACAGGAGACCGCTGTTTACCACTACTACTACTACTACTACTACCTTTTTACTTTAGTTTTGCACTTTGCAACTTTTGGTACTTTACTTTTGCCCATTTCGCAACAAACATACTTATTTTACACAACAAACATACTTATTGTAACTGAAGCCACGATCTTTTCCTATGCTTAAACACTTAACCTAACTAAGTAGTCATGTTGCGGAATTAAACCCTAAAAACTAAGTAAACTAATTTGGAAATGTATTTTGAGAAAATGTATTGACCTGACAGCATTTCCCACTGACCCACTATTCTTGTGCATCGTGTCCTAGAAGGCATCTTTTGTTCAACACATGCGTGAATGATGCACCAGGTCTGTCACTATGCACCACGATCCCAGAAAATAACATTAAGAATAGAACAGAATATCTGACTGATATAAACAGGCCATAATGCAAAGAAAATGTCCTTCACAGGTCTTTGCAATAATTGGTTTATGTGATACTTGATCAAAAGCTATGCTTCAATTCGACAATCACCTAGCCGTAGTGCAATGTCATAACGTTGTGCATACAGGCGATGGCTTGTCCTCGGACCTGGACAAACTAATGTGTTATCTCCTCCTGAGCTAATTTAACACCTTCTGTCCCCAGCAGCTTATTAATGGAATCTTATAGTTGCTTGCGGCAATTTTAATCCTCCAACACAAAGACATAGGTTTCTTGTACAGTGGACTCGTACCGCTTCTCTCTTCATTATCAGAGGACTATGTCATGAAGTGCACAGTGGGGGAAATGTGTTTCATTACAGTATCTGTTTTAGCTCTGTGACACTCAAACAATGCATGCAGCAACACTGAGCACAAATGAGTGGGTGTAGAAAATATAGGATGGATGAGTCACTCCAGCCTTTTCATTGAATTACTGTTTTTCAGTAGCATGAACACCAGTGGACAGAGGACGGCCACTGTTAAAATGTATCATTTACAAGACAATTGAGGGGATTTATGAATACCCGGCGGCTTAAAGCACATAACATGTGACCCACCCTGGTCACTTTTTTCATGTCGGCACGTCTCCCTCTCTTGCTTCATATTTCCTGTCAAATCTAAAATACAGTTCAAAGTAGGAGTGGAGATAAGGCTCATGTATGTGCGCTGTGTTCCATAATGATTACGATTTATAAAGCAAAACCAAGCGCATGAGTGGCTTTTATAAATCTCACCATGTCTTTGTGCGAGCAGTTGATAATCACAGAGTTTTATGCATGTGGCCCCAGTTGTTTCTCTTGTCTTTTGACCAGGGCCTCTCTTTGTGCTCCTATTTCTGTGATGCATTAATGGAGTGACGTCGTACTCGAGATAACATTGAATTTTGTCTCTGTATAAAGATGTTTACAAGTTGAGCATCTTCGCCACAATTCACGCCGTCTGGAGGGAAATTGTATCAGTTCATGTCTCTTTGCATTTGTTCATATCTTTCCACTGGCCTTGTATTATTGTATTCTGCCTTTGAATTGTGCATCTCATTTAATCCGATCGCATCATTAATCACCAACCAAAGACTTGTTTGTTCTGCTTTCATCAACCTCTGATTAACTCTTTTATTCTATTTTTTCATTCTCTTTTGTTACTCAGTATATTCTGAGTCTAACAACATCTTTCTGAAACACATTATGAGAAACCAAAACAAAAGACAGTCACAATGCATGATTACTTCATGTAAAATGCTTTCCACTGACCTCCTGCCTCCCTTTCTAGTGCCCTACTGAGCCATCGCCCTTTCACTCCAGCACACTTGTCACTATATGGCTGGCGAACACACAAGAACTGTGGCGTGTGTGCCACCCCACATTAAATCACACACCGTGTCGTCATACTCTCTACCCTGTGGCAAGTTAAAGTTGAAATACAAACAAATTATCATGGAATACAAAAACCGACCTCATGGTAGCAAGGAAATGAAATAATAGTAACAGTCACACTGGCAAAACTAAATGAATGCGTCAGGTTTATTGTGATGGATTTTCTAGCCTGTGGAAGTTGTTTTTTCATGCTGTACAAATACAATTATCTGCAAATGGCATTTTGTGCAGGCAGGAACACAAGCCCTGATATCTTCAGCTATGCTCGGACTGCAGACATAAGCGGGAATAATGTAAAGTGGAGAGGCAGTCTAGATGGTGGGCACAATCCACAATATCAGTCTTCTCTTTCAATATCTTGGTCCTACAATGTAATTTGTGCATTGATTGTCACCAGTGTGGAAAAAAACAATGAAAGCAGCTCTGTTACTGTGTGTTTAATGTGACAGTGTCACCAGTCTGACCTCTGCAAAGTCTGCCCAGAAGTGGGATGCATTTACTATTGCGCAAGAGTGGTCATTTAGTCCAGTTTCATCAGTAGTTCATAAGGTTATTTATTTGCACAAAATAGACAAAACCTGGAAACGCATATTACATTTAAGTGAAAGTTTTGATAGACATTAGGAGAAAATTTGCATGCTGTAATAGGACCATCCCTTGTCAGTAACAACTCATGGAAACAGTGTATTTGCACAAATTGTCATGAAACAATGACTGTTTGAAACACACATTCAAACCTAGGGACGACTGTATGATACTGAAAAGGTTATCATCAGCCTTTAAGTACACGGAGCGGTGAACACCTGAATGACAGAATTGAGGATTCACACAATAACACTTGCATCTCATTTAATCCCTTATTGGTAATAACATGCACATTTCTACATGTCAACAGACACTTCACTTCTGTCCCCACTCTTTATCATACAAGCTCTTATACACACACACACACACACACACACACACACACACATGCACACATGCACACACAGGCTCATAAATATTCAGCCTCTTTGTACCTTCAGAGACCGTAAAAAGCTGCAGCTTCACACACCCAATTAACACACCAATGTGTGTTAGTGTGTGTCTGTGTGCTTCTGTGTGGCTGTAGAGAAAATCATCCCGTGCCTTCAGGGACCAATGGGATTCGCGAAGATCCGCACGCACACACACACACACACACAGACACACACACACACACACACACACACACACACACAAACAGAGAGTGTAAATTCCAATGCTGTTAAAGGCAATCTATATCAGAACTTGCTGCCAACGTAAAACTGTTCAGAAAAATAAGCACCTCTCCAACATCACACATTTAGGTGGAAAAACACCTCAAGTTAACTTTTCCGCCCTGTTTTCACTCAGAAGCCCATCGGTGCAGGTATACATACCGTACAAATACCGGTGAGCTTTTTTCCACACTTTGGTGAAATCCCTTAGGGCAATGTCATGAATACTTTAATGCTTTGAGGCCACAATGGAAGAAGGCCAGCAGCTGAGGCAAGGGCTTTGCTTGGGGCTCAGTCGGGGCTTGAGCTTGGCCATTATAGAATCCGACCTCCATGTCATTATTGAATCCGACCTCCATGTCATGTCCCACACTGCATCTGTGACCCAAGATATACCTGGGGTTAGAAAGGCCTGTGGAAATATTGATGAGCCACATGCAGTATTGTATTGCATAATCTCTAAAATCTCTATGTGCATGTCACTGTTTATGTACCGTGTGGTGCATTATGTATAGGGTATTCTCCAATTCTCTAACTTTCTGTAGATTTCACTGGTGGTTTGAAGGGTTAACCAAACAAATGTGATGTGCTACGTCTTCCTTCAGCAAGTCATTGCTTTCAAATTAGTTTTTATTTTGTGTCATGGGCTGTCATGTCCAAGAACGTTACCATATGGCGCACACAGTATGATATAGAAAGCTGAGAAAATGCTCCAAAATAGATTGTAACATGTTGATCACACATCTTCGTGTTTCTTCATGTGCTAATTGAGAAAACAATTCTTTAGGTTTTTACAAGAGTAAGTGGGCGTTCAGACTAAAAATAACAACGCAAGAGGCTGTGTTGGTGGCGTGTAGCTTCAGGTCCTGGTGAGACACTCAAATACGATCCAGGAAGTCCAGTTGGTGTAACAGATTAATGTGCTTTAGGGTTTATCAGACGGCACTATATAAAATATAGAAAGGATTTTACAACCCAACAACAATTAACACAACATGACAAAAATATTTCAGCTTTTGTCCAATAGTTAAGATGTTTCAGTCTGGACCAAAGTGGTTGACTGACATTGCCATCCCTAAAGATAGCTTTATAATCATGCAGCCATTGTACAGAAACCCCTTGAAATTCTTCTAATATTATACTGCTTTTTTGTCTTCCTCCCAGGGCTTAGTGATAGAACGAATTGGGAGGAAGCCACTTCTCATCTTTGGTTTCTCTGCCATGGCCGTTTTCTTCAGTTTACTCACAGTGTTCCTCAATTTCCAGGTAAGCCACCCTATTATAGGCATACTGTGAGCTAAAGGTGTATCTCAATACACATGGGTGCTCTGTACTGTGGTCCAATTATACTGTGAACAAATTGTATTATTATCAGTGTTCCAACTCTGAGGAAATTAGGTAATTATACTGTACATCACTTCCAAATGTATATGATATCATACGTGATATTTCTCACATTTTCAACAAAAATAACTCGCTTAATTAGCACTGATTAGTCGAACTTGCACAAAACAAAAAAGAAAATAAGAAATGTAATATACGAATGTATGGATTGAATTTTCTTGGATTTATTTGGTGATGTTGGCTGTTTAAACAATATCTTCATGAAATATAGGATGTAGCTATTAATTATTCATTTTCCTGATATATTTACTGTCATATTCCTGCCTAGAGATTTTTTGCTAACATAATGATTATGGTCACTGCAATGTCATCTCTCTCGCTCTCTTATCTAGGACAGACTGTCATGGATGCCCTACCTCAGTTACATCTGTATTCTGGCTGTGATTGCGTCCTTTTGCTCTGGGCCAGGTAAAACCGCTGACTCACACAACTGATTGAGATTTCTCCTTTTTCTTTTTCTCTTTCTTGATTTTTCATTTTCTGCTATAATCCGTCCTCACTGCTCCACTTCCCTTAAAACTGCACTTAAAAGAGATTCAGTAAATACCCTGCAGAATGTTTTCAGATTGCGTAATTCAAAGCTGGCTGTAATTCAGTGAAGTAGTCATTGAATAAGATATGTGACTGACCCAACTCTGGTCCTCACTTTTAAAACTGGCAAAGGGACACAGATTTGTATTTGCAGTGCTTTTTAGACTCAAAGCATTTGACTTATTAAACTGGTCATTTTTAGTTGTATATGTTAACAACTGTTAGCGTTAGCATACTAAATACACTATATATAAATATATTGCACGGTACTGCAGATGCACATGGGGGCAGTGTGACTATAGTGCGTCTCGGTGGGTGGTTGACTTTGAGTTTCAAGGTGAGGTTATCGCTGTCATCACACGTATAGATCCCTTCTGAATAATAATGTCTCCAGGGAGCGTTAAGCCAATGAAATGCCTCAGTGTAACAGGATGAGATGAGAACAATGGAGCTGTAGAAAGTGTAGATCAATGGAGACTTCTCACAACAATCACATGCAGAATGCTAGAGGAAGCACATGTGGTTTTCCTAACCTTAGGGACCTTTAATAAAGATGAGAAAAAGACGACATAAAACGTCACACAGTGCTACCAATGCCCTCTACTACTGCGTAACATCAGCTTTTAATAGTTCACCCAGTGCTTTTGCTCAGGTGCATTTCTGTGGTATTTGTTGAGGGAAGAGAGATGTTTTCTTGTTTATGTCCACCTTACAGTGATGATTTATGGCCCATTGAAATAAATGATGCCCCTAATTGCTTTGGGATGGTGAATGACTGGGAGGGGAAGAGGAGGGAATTCACATACTGTAAGGGATGATCCCAGTAGTGCTTTGAACTTTTGTGTGGATAAATGAGGAGCCACAATTCCTCTGAAAGCATTTTACAATGGCCCAGATATACCAAAGTTTTATGAAACTCAAAGATATTGAAAGATTATCAAAGCAATTGTTTTTGACATGATGAATTAAAGGGCTTAGCTACAGTATGTTTGTTTGTTATGGGCTTAGTTATCAAATCAGACACTGAATATTTCCCACCTTCTAAAATACCTCTTCTGTGAAACACTTGACTGCCCTAATTAGCCCTCTGCCTGCACAGCTGCTCCTTTAGATCTCCTGTATAGATGGAAGTCTGATTTTATACATTTGCCTGGCTCGGCCTGTATACCCGTCAATAGCATGGTTATTGAACAAAATAAATTGCCTTTCACTCCACCTAACTTTTTCCAGGTATTAAAATGTACCTGCAATTGTGATAGACTTTGTAGAACAATACCAAAAGAACATAAAGTTAGATTAAGTATTTTATTTTATAGTGGATATTTAAACAGAGCAGGTGTACTTCGTTCATAAGAAATCATAATCAAATATGAATCTTACTGTATATTGTCTTTTTTTGATGCAGTATTGTGTTCTGTAGTTCCAGCTATATACTTTGTGTCGTGGTTTTAGTGGCTTTGTATCCTCCTGGCTTTTATTGTATTTCATTTCACCAAGTCTGTGCACATAATCCACCCTGCTTCTCTAAAGAAAAGTGAGGGGTTCATATTATTTGTTTGTCTGTAGGCACTACTGTCATGGGCAGAAGTGCTGTTGTCAAAACTAGAAGAATATTCTCAACACCTTCTTCCCATCAAGAATGGTTCTCCACTGATGATAGCACAATACTGGGGAGGGTGGTCATAGGATATTCCAGTAGTGCCTGTATAAAACTCAAACAAGGCACATCCAATGCAATACAAGAGGACGCCAGTTTACCACCCTCACAGTAGAGACCACAGACCTCCATTTGTTTGCATGGTTGTGTGGCTGCAAAACAGCCAATTAAAAAAAAAAGGCCTATAACTTCCAGCTGCTAGTGACATGATTGATAATACATTTTTTTAGCAAATTAGTTTGGATAAATGGTTCTGTTTACAAGATGCTCACATGGATTGTTACACTGTGTACAGATGTATGGGTGTGGGGTTTACAGTAGGAGCGCTGTACAGTCTGGTTAGCTGGTTACTGTTTTGCTCTGAATACAGTGTGACCCACTGTATATCCTTTTATCCCGTGAAGCTTCACACTGTGATAAATTAGGTGTTCGATCAAGGTCTTTATCCGTTTCCCTGATAGCAGTGTTCCAGAAAGGAATGTCTAAAGTAGAACGGACATTGCCAATGTTCCTTTTTTCTCCTCTAACACAATTTCGTGCATGGGTGTACTGGACTGTACTGAAGTCTCTAGACTTTTGTCTGGCGACTCTGTCCCCTACTGAGAGGATTATACGGTAGAGTGAAAATGGTTCAGTGTTTCCCACAGGATCGAGTCAGACTTTGGTGGGAAGGAAAATGTGTACGTTTTAAAATCAAGTGCATCAATCTGGTGCACTTTGAGAGCCAAAGTAAAAAGCCAGATCTATTTTGTGCTCTTGTTAACAATTTTGCGTTCTAGCAGTGGTGGAGTGTGCGTGTATATGATATCATACGTGATATTTCTCACATTTTCAAGAAAAATAACTTGCTTAATTAGCACTGATCAGCGGAACTTGCACACAAAAAAAAAGAAAATAAGAAATGTAATATACCAATGTATGGATTGAAGTTTCTTGGATTTATTTGGTGATGTTGGCTGTTTAATCAAAATCTTAATGAAATATAGGATATGGGAACCAACACCGACACTCTTAGGGCATGGAGGCACGGGAAAACCAGAACCAGGACTGCACGTAGCAGACTGTCAGACATGCTGCAGTCAAATAAGAGGCACTCTGATGCTTGGAAATACTGTTTTTGTCCACAAAGACTGACAAAATCAACACAAAATGAAGGCTCCTCGTGATAGATTTAAGTAGAATTTTGAATGCAGGACTTTTACTTGTAACGAATATTTATATACTTTGGTATCACTTATACTTAAGTAAACAATCTGAGAACTTCTTCCACCACTGTGGTCTAGGAAACAATTCAATCATAAACACATTTGCTTTAAAGATATGAATGGTGTGACGCGGTGTAGCAACTCATAATGTGATAACTGTGAATAATGTAATAATCAGCACATATTGAAAGAAAACTATGAGCACTTAAAATAACAGTTTTGTGCACAACGTAATAAGGTATTCATAAAGAGAAAGTTATTACATGATAAACTAAAAAAATGGTTGAATAACGTAACAAATTCAGTGCATAGTTTAAAAATAAAAAAGAGTACTCCTTGTTTTTTTAAAGCATAGAAACTTTTCTAATTTTTCATGACACAAGTGAAGTCCTTGATTCAAAGCAACTAGATTTAGTTTGGTCGAGAGAGGGCATTTTCATCAATTAGTTGCAAATTGATGAAGCCTCTTGAATGTGTGATACATTTCAGGAATGCAAAGATATTTAGTGACCTGGACAAATGAGAATGTTCATGGACATGATTGTGAATCTAATGCACTGGTTGATTATGAGCATGTAAAACAATGGTTCCATTTGTAATGTGACCAAGTTACTTTACTGAGTTACTTGAGTCTTTTTGGCAGAAATGCTCCCTCAGAAGTATGTTTTTCTGGATGGATGGATTGATGGATATTGTTCTGTGCGCTCGTATCATGTGCATTTGCCTGGTTTTACGTGCACGGGTTTTGAGACTAACTAAACACCATATCAAAGTAACTAGAAAAATGGATGGAACAATTATTTCACATGCTAAGAAATCACCCGGTATATTCAGCATCATCTCCGCAGGCAGTGTGGCCCAGCGTAACACATTTTTCTCTCGTGTGGAAGCAAAGTGGCAAACTACTGTATGTGTGCTGTTTTTTGACATGCACCACACTTTTAATTGGCACGGACAGTTGCTGGAGCGCCAGGTGAGAAATGTTTAGCAAATCTCTCAAAAGTAGACGGATTTTCAGATAGTTTGAGTCAGATGATTGACACGTGGAACTGTTCTCTGCCGAGGTAAATCCATTATTCTGCCGAGCACCTGAGCTAGTGATGAGGACATGGTGCAGATACATACAGTATGTCTATTCAAGGTTAATTGGGTCCTTTCACTGCTGGAGGCTCTAACTGGGAGTAACTGTGTAGTTTTCTGAAGCGAACCTATTTGTTTGCTTGTCATCAAAAAAAGACAGCTGTGCAAATGGTATGGAGATCAAGCCTTTAACATTTAGACAATAGTTACACTATTGTTGCAGAATAGTTAAATTTCTGTTTTTCCATTTTTCTTAATTTAGTGGAACAAAGATGTGCTTTCCAAAGTTATATACTGTTTTCTTTGAAGCTAAGATTTAGACTTTTTTTCAAATCATTAAACCATTTTTTAATTTATATTTCAGCTCAGTTCGAAGGTTCTTGGCTTATTTTGGGCTTCTTCCAGCAGGCTGACACTGTCATCTCATTAACTGGAAATTGTGCATTCTTTCTTTCTGACTCTCCAGTTGATTGTGTCAGCTTGTGCCGCCTTGTCAAACCAGAGAAAACAACTCTACCCGAGCTGTTTCAAAACCCTTATAATTCTGGTGCCTATATATGAAAAACTAACAAGACCAGATACGACTGTTTCAGCATTCTGGGCAGGGAATGGGATCACAGTTGGCATTTTGATGAGCGTTGTATACATTCTAAGAACTGGAGTTGCCGATGTTGAAATAAAAAAAGCAAATAGCATCAACACTGAGCATATTGTTACTGTTGTCATGTGGCACATCAGAGACCGACACTACCCAAAGATGCATTGATCCTTTTATTAGATTGTGACGAGTTGCTTTCCCCCATATGTTTGTGGCTGTGACATACTGTTTATGTCCTTTTAAAACTTTCAGAGCGAGGATGCAATGACAAACACCTGCAGCGTTAACTCCTTTCATATATTAATTTACTTTGATTATTAAGAAACGGAAGTTCTTT